AGCTCCTCCTAGATTCGCATCATCGTCCTGCTTAATCTTATTAACTTCCGTTCGAGAAAAAAAGTGGCTGACGAGTTGCCCGTCTTGCAGAGGAAAGGAGGGTCGGTTGCCACAGAGAGGACAGGGTTCTAAGGGAGCGACCACAAGGGTCGATCAGATCCTCCTCCTCGATCAGGCAGGAGGTTCTGCTAGAGCCGACGGACTGAACGGTATAATCCATACCCGTGTCCGCTCCTGGGGGTGGTCAGTCGAGGTCCACAACCAGTGTGGCATGGATGAAATGATACCGCGAACTGCACTAACCTTTTGGCGGATACTTGTTGGGGGTTCGGAAGCACTGTTGAGGGCGAGAGATGATGAAGGCTGGTTGTGTCGAGCGGGAGGGGCAATGGTCTCGATGTCGACTTCACACCTCCTCTCCACAGAATCCTTTGAACGGAGTATTACGTCCCAGGTGGGCTTCCCACTCCCACTTTTGCTCCTTGGTGTATCACTCACCACCCCCGGCCCTTGTCGAAGACGAGGTTAGTTGGGTAAATGGAGGGTGTTTGACGACCCGGATGGGGTGCAAGAACGGAAACAGAAATTCCCCAGAAACGCGGGGCGGAAGAATGTGAGGAAGACATTGCTTCGCAGGATATGATACGCCATTCTAAATCGCGGCTATCCAAAGAAAGACGCATCTATGCCTCGCATACAGCAGCATACACGTACAGGATGTACAAGCAATGCAAAAGCTTTTTCTGCTCGTCTCGTTTCGGCCCTGTGGAACGACTGCAACTCGGACTGGCAGGAGCATCAATCAAGTCGAGCCGGGCACATAACGGAATGCACAGATCTCTGCTGTTCTTGTCGTTACGATTGCAACCTCATATCGGCTCAAGGACCTTGAAGGGTGGGTGTTTAACCCCCTCAATGTTCCCCGTCCTTCCCCCGCATCTACTGTTGGTGATCCAATCGCTAAGACCACGTCCATTGATGCGATGGAGTAATTTGATGGCGAGCGAGGGCAAGCGAGCGGAAAGACCATGATACGAAGTAGATCTGGCCCGCAGTTCTTTACGAGTAGCTCCGCAGTGTCGTTGATCATGTATGTCATGCTTCAACGCCTTCACACCCTGGTATTTTTGTCCCGGTGCGGATTCCGCATTCCCCAGTTGTGACACTGGATTGCGTCCGTCCCGTCCCATTATGCCGCCCATCAACGCCCATCACCAGTGGATCCACAGTAATGGAGCTATTGTTGATGATATGGTTGGCAGCCTACACTGCTGCCTGAAGGGAAGAAGAAATTTTTCGAAAGTAAAGCTAAGAAAAACCCTTCCTTGGTTACCGCGCACCTGTAAGACACACACGAGTTAAAAAGACGGAAGGAAGCGGAAGACGCACATCTTAGTCTTATTTCTGGCTTTGCATCTTGGTACTCCCTCTCTTGTCTTCCTCGAGAGGCCCGCTCGGGGTCGGCCGGCCGGCAATACTACCTCTATCCTTGATCCCATCACACACCCCAAGCCCACCCCCTCTCATCTGGGGGATTAGCATCCACTCTTGAGTTCTTGGCCTAGCCTTTGCTCTGCTGATGTCGCAAGATGCGAACTGTGCTAAGTTTTGAAATTTGACCGCCTGGCTCCAAGACTCGGGAAAGGAACTACACTAGGCGTGGCATTGGCAGGATGGAGCTCAGCCTGGAGGAGATTCCCCGCTAATGGCTATCCGTTCATCCAGGGGCTGAGTGAGCGCGAGAGGGGGTGTGGGTAAGGGTGGCAGGCGGAATAGACTTCAGGATCGACGAGGGAAGCCTTGGCTATCCGGAAAGCGGGTAGGAGAGGGGAAAAAGACGAGAGAAAACAGAACGGAGAACTCACGGCAAGTCTCAACATTTGGCTCGAGCTCAACCTGCACCGGCTCTTGGCTCTGGGCGGATACGGTGGTCTAGTGTAGCGGCCTACCTGATACCTCTCACCCCATTCGACCAGTGTTCCTTTGAAAGTCTCTCCTCCGTGCTCACCCGAGTTTTGAGCAGAATAATGAAAGGTGCAAGGACCCGCTCTGATCATCACTTGGGGGGGGGGGGGGGGGGGGAACGATTATGTTTCAACGATCGAGCACACGAGCCCACAGTTTACTTCGTACGTTTACCACGACACGCCCACGCTACGCTGCTTGGTGCATTGCCAGGCCATGGCGGGTCTGTGCCCTGCCTGAAAAAGACTACCTACCACACCATTTGATGTGGATGTGGATGTGGATGTGATGGATGTGCGGAGTTACCCACAATAGCGCCGTCAAGTGCCACTCTGACTTCAGCGCGCTATGAATTTTTTTTCTCTTTCTTTTTCATATTTTATTACGAAGTCGTCCGGGCTCAATATATTGGGTGGGTGGCATACGAAAGCGAGGAGAGGGTCGGCAGAGGCTGGGGACTCTCGGCGCAATCGAGAGCAACTCTGCTGGGAAGGGTGCTTGTGTCAGGGAGAGCGAGGCGAGTGAAGAGGGCGCTTCTCTCGCGAATAATCATCCGCCTCTCCAATCGACCCATACCACTTCATTTATTACTTTCCCCTCTTACCCTAATACACCCCCTTCCTTAATGGACTGTTCCCTTGTCCATAGTAGCCGTAGCGTTATGATGTGGTGGCCAAGCTGGCAGAGACCCTGGTACAAAACGGAAAATATCAAGTTGAGGGAAGAAGAGGGGAGGGGAAGACTTGGTTATTGAGGTATACTTGGTTTGACGGGAATTAAAAGACCAACAGAAGTTAAAATTGCGCAGTGTCGTAGTCGTGGGCGCTGCATGACAGAGATCAACCCCAGGTTTAAGGCTGGTCCTGTAATTGCAAGTGCATGAACCCTTCAAGCCGGGGAGTGGGAAGTCTTAATACAGCTCAGATATACTGCCAGCCGTCCTGGGTTCCGGGGTCAGTCCTTGAAGGGGGGGCCAAAGCCTGGCCAAAAGATGGCGGGAGTTGCGACTATGGTTGAGCAATCTTTGAAGGGGATGGGAAACGAAATGAAGCTTTTAGTGTGCCACTATTTCTCTCTCTTTCCTTTTGGTCTTGCCCTCTTTCTCTTCCTGTCAATATCGCATGCCCGGGTGAATTTACCTTTCTCAGGAGCGATGGTTCCATTTATCCTATTCTAACCGAGACCGCGAGCCCATCCTCGTGCCTCGAAGAGGGCCCGATCGTGAGAGACGAAGGTCCCTGCGAGAGAGATATAAGAGGAGAACCCGGTATCCCCTTTATCATTGATTTTGGAACCTTCATTCATCGGGCTCCAATAGGGTGAAAGAATAGGGGAATAAAAAGAAGGTGGTGCATGGACGAGGAGTAACAGATAGACTGACTGACATCCTTCGCACACCCAGCCAGGTTCTCTCTGTATCTATCTCGCCCATCTCTCCCATCCCCAGATATTGGCTTGCGGGCAGCCCGCATCATTCGGGATGGATATTACACATTGCAGCCTACAGCAAGGAAGGTGCACACATTGGCGAGGGGCGTATACAAGCTTCACAACATCCCATGTACGCGGGCTCGTATAAAAGGGTCAGCTGGGGAGTGGAAGAGGGAGATGGCCAGATCATAGAGCGAGGGGGAGACATGGAGAGGGCGCAGTTCCGGTCCATATCCCTCTCTTCTATGTATTCTGCCTCGACATTCTTCATCGCGCTGCTGAGGCATGAGGTCCAGAGAAGAGGGAAGAGAACTCTATCTTGACAAACGTCGTTTTGATTGTTTTGCATCTCGGTTGTTATATTTAAACCGGAGCTTTATCAAGGCCGCTTTCCACAGTGTGTACCATAGTCCTCGATGCTATACATCATCTGTTGTCAAAGGCTAACCTACCTAGCCGCAGGAATATAAACAAAGGGGGGATGGGGAGGGGGGATCACTCCGGCGTGAGATTTGGCGAGCAAGCGAGCCAAGCGGAGGAAAAGAGAGAAAACAGCAGGAGATTATAGACTGGGGAGGGATGGGTGACGCTCGAAGAGAAATGCTTCCCGACTCGATGAACTCGGCTCAGGCCTGTGTCGCCGCTGCTTTGTCTACTTGTCTACTGTCTCGAGCCAATCTTGTATCCAATTGTGTCGAGCAGAAGTAGCAAGCAAGGACAGCAGCGGGGGCAGATGTAGAAACAGAAGCGAAAGCAGAAGTATGCAACGCCTCGTCAAGCAGACAAAGGACGGCAATGATGCACAGCGGATTTGAAAGGGACGGCAAAGGGGGAAGCGAGTGGCCCCTCATGTGTGAAGGGATATAGTAACATATTACCCGAGGATAACTTCAAAAATTCCGGGGCGAGTCGGCAGATTACAAAGGAGAGAAGGAGACTCCGGGTTTAGTCTTCATTCCTGCTTGTCTTGCAGGCCCTTTCCGGTCTTAGTATACTCGCTCGCCTTTACTTCGTAGTTGTATGTCGCGCTGGATTATTTTTCATACTGGTATTATAGAGATGGAAAAAGGTGAGGGATCTGAGGTCATTTTGCATCCCCAGAAAAAGAGGAAGAAGGCTGCGTGCAGTGGGGATTGATGCATATGTGAGATAAGGTGTGCAGGCGCGGGAGTGGGAGTAGCCTGGTTTTGATGTGATGACTTGCTTGCAGACTGCTGGAGATGAACCTCATCTCTGGGGCAATTGATAGCTTCAATGTTCCATTCTGAGACTTTCCACCTTCGTTGCAGCGAAGCGAAGCGAGTCTAGCGCTGGTGCTGGTGCTGGCGATGATATCATTTGTAATTGATGGAAGGAGCGAAGGAGATGGACTTGGATCGATGACGAAGTCGTTGAATTTGTCAGCTTTCGCAATCGCAGTTGCCGTGTAATTGTTAGTTCGCAACGACGAACGACGAGCTTCACGATCATGGCCGATATAAAGCGCACACGAACCTGAAGACCCCTTCATCACAAACAAACAGTAAAATATCTAGCTCAGCTCAATCCAAATTCATCTCACCTCAATTCACATTTTCAGACTCCAGAGTTCTCACTCTCTCACTATGAAGGCTATCGGTATAACCCCTCTCGCCTACTCAACCCCTCATCCCCTCAGCCCAGAATAACTAACTCGAGCTCCATAGACATCAAAGGCGGCTCCGGCCCCCTCGAATCCCTCTTCATCAACTCAGACACCCCCACCCCCGTCCCAGCAAAAGGCCAGGCCCTCGTCCGCGTCAAGGCCTTCGGCATCAACCGCATGGACATCCTCCAACGCAACGGCCGGTATCCCGTGCCCCTTCAGGCCCCCGCAACCCTCGGCGTCGAGTTCAGCGGCGTGGTGCATTCTCTCGGACCCCGGGATGAGGCGCACGAGGATTCCGGCCGCCATAGGTTCGAGGTCGGCGATGAGGTGTTCGGCTTGGCGTATGGCGGTGCTTATGCCGAGTATATCGCCGTGAGCACTGGGATGTTGCTTAGGAAGCCGAGGAGTATGTCTTGGGAGGTGGCGGCTGGGATCCCGGAGGTGAGGCCTCTCGTTTCTTTTTCTCTCCTCTCTTTTCATTTTCTTTCCCCCTTTTTGCCAATCTTAATTCGGAATAGAGGCTGACGAACTCTCAGACCTGGATCACCGCAACCCAAGCCCTCACCCTCATAAGTGAATTCTCGGAGGGTAAATCCATCCTCTGGCATGCTGGCGCCTCCGGCGTCTCCACAGCCGGCATCCAACTCTCCCGCCGCCTCGGCGCCTCCCAAATCTTCGCCACCGCCGGCTCCCCCGAAAAGACCGCCTACATCCAGTCCTCGCTCGGCGCGACGGCGGCTTTCAACTACCGCACCGAGGACTGGGTCCAGGGCGTGCGGGACGTCACGGGCGGCAAGGGCGTCGACGTCGTTGTTGACTTCGTGGGGGCGGATTACTTCCAGAAGAACATCGACGTCGTGGCGAGGGATGGGAGGATTGTCTTGTTGGCGTTGTTGAGCGGCGGGAAGATTGAGGGGGGCGTGGATATCGCGGCTGTGTTGTATAAGAGGGTTAGGATTGAGGGGAGTACGCTGAGGAGTAGGGATGAGGAGTATCAGAGGAGGTTAAGGGATGCGTTGGAGGAGTATATCCCTGATTTTGAGGAGGGTAAGTTGAAGGTCGTTATTGATACGGTTTTGCCGTGGGACCAGATCCAGGAAGCGCATCGGATTATGGAAGGGAATAAGAACAAGGGTAAGATTGTGTGCACCATACCGTGGGAGTAAAAGAAGGTTGGGTCTGTCGTCTAGATATTTCAAGGATTCAATGCATCGCCTAGAGGTTTATCACCTCGTTGGCGAGGAAGAAAAAAAACTGTCGTACAATCCGAGCGTGTTATGGACAGAGGAGAGAGGGCGAGTGAGCGAAGAGACGAAAAGAGAAGGGAAAAAAAAGGACATACGGAACTGATCAGCCCCCCGATCACGCCGTGACACCCGGAATCCATATATGCGAACCTAGAATACATGAGGGAGTCCAGGCCTTCATTAATCTCGTAACACATCCACCCCAAGTCATCCTCCCCCAAGTCAGCAAGACGAGCATGTGCATGAAACTGCTCTCTCATTACAAAAAAAGAAACCTCATTCCGCATTCCAATCCCAAGCCAAATACTGCCTCCCGGTCCCGCTTAATCTCCTCCCCGCCCCCTATAGTTACCCATCTTCTCAATAGAGCTCATAATACCACTCCGGGGTCTCGGAAGGCCCCCTCCAATGCCGTTACTCCTGGTCCGCTCATGCACCGCAGAGCGTCCAATCTTCGACTCTGCTGCAGCATATGATCCGGGAGCTCTCAGTCCTGACTTCGTAGCACTCCTCGGTCCCTCGGGCATAGACATCCTCTTGGAAGCTGGTGTCCTGAGGACTGAAGGGATCGTGCCCCTCGATGCCGGCCTCGCCGGTGCCGGTGCCGGCGCCGCGTGATGGTTCTCATGCGCGGGTGGAGGAGCAGGAGCAGGAGTAGGAGCCACAAAGGTCTGCTGCATGGCCATGAGCTCCTCGGCGACCTGCACGAGTTCACCCTTCTCGACGCGTTCCTGCTCGAGCAGCTGGCGTAGTTCCGAGTTATCCATCTTCACCGTCGACACGACGGCCTCCAGCTTCTCAATCTCGGCCTCGAGCTCCTTGATCTGTGCAGAGTCCCTGGCCAGCTGCGCCTTGCGCTCCTCATCGAGGGCGACCTGGCCCGGGTCGACGCGTGTCATCGTGGCGTCGCGGCCGAGGCGGAGCTTCTCGTTATCATCGGCGAGCTCCTCGATCCTGACCTCGAGCTCGCGGACGCGCTTCTCCCACCTGTTCTCGTAGCTCTTCTTCAGCGCAGCCACCTTGGTCTCGTGCTTGCTCTTGTACAGAGCGTGGAGCTCGCGCGCCACCCTCTCGACGGCGATCTCGACCTCCTTAGCCGTGGACGTACCGTTGATGTGAGTCTTTTCGCCCGCCGCCGCTCGTTCCCTCTCCTCCGTGGCCTTGCCGGCCTTCATGCCCGCGATTTTGCTCTCGGCCTCTTGAGCCATCATTTCAGCAGCCTCGCGTCGCTTCTCGCTCTCGTCCAGCTTAATCTCAAGCTCCTCCCTCTCCCGCTGATTCAGCACAATCTCATCCTTGACCTTCCTGAGCACCGTTTCCATCTCGCGGCCTCTCTTCTCCCATCCGTCCTTCTCGGCGGAGAGGTGCACCCTCATCGACCGCTCCTCGCGTAACTGCTCCATGCTCTCGCCGGCTCGGCGCTCGGCATCAGCCACCGCCGTCTTGAGGGATTGCACTTCGGCTTCCTTGCCGCTAAGCGTCGCCTTGAGACTGCTGATTTCCGAAAGGAAATTGGACTTGAGGCTCTCGAGCTCACGGGGCGTGATGCTGGGGATGCTGCGCGGCGTGGGCATGGGCGGGATATCGAAATCGATGAGATTTACCGAGGAGCGGGCGGGGGTCGTCGGGTCGGCGAGGTTGGGTGTTGTGCGCGACGGTGGGAGGGTTCCCGCATGGGTGGGCGTCTTTTGTGGGAAGCGGAGCTGTTCGGTGAATTCCATGAGGAGATTTGTCGTGTTGCCGGATTCCGGTATGGTCGCAGGGGGGTTGGCGCGGGGCGTACGGGCGTTTGCTCGCGGAGTGGCCTCTCCCATCAGGGATTGCCTCATGGGGCTATTATGCAGGTTCGCGAACATGGTCATGTTGGGAACGGCGGAAAATGTGCTAAAGGTGCTGATCATCGTGTCGTCCGGGCCGGCAGGTTCGTCGTGGAATTCATGTATGGTAGCCGTGGCGCCGGATCCGAAATTCACGGTATTGTCATCATCGTCTTCGACGGGGCTGTCATCATCATCCTCAAATATCTGAATGGCCCTCTGCAGACCGGCATTCTCCCTCAAGGCCTCGTCAATGGTCAATGTCCTCTCCTGAACTACGGGCTTTGGCGTGGCCTCGACATGGGCACCGGGTACGCTAACCCTGATGGGAAACCTCTTGACAGGCGAGAGCACCTTCCTAGGGCTCCTCACCGACGCCGCTGAAATTACGGGTGCAGTGACCGCAGTGGCAGGGGAATTTCCCGAATCGGGTGTGGAGACGGAGTCGGGCGTTGCGGTCTTCGATCTCGCCTCGGTGAGGATCTTGAGGGGGGACAGCTCGGTTCCTGAAAGTACGCGCGAATGGCGCGCCGTCTTGTTGGGCGAAGGGGACATGATGTTTTCCTTGTTGGAGGGGTAGGAGAAGGAGGAAGAGGAGGAGGAGGAGGAGGCGTCGTCGTGGACGTTGAGGATGTTGACCAAACCTGGAATTTCTGAGCCAATTGACGACCCCTGGATGTGGTGGTTGGTGTTGGCGTTGGCGTGAGACGCCTCGATGGTTGTGGTTGTGGAGGCCGTCACCTCGTAATTCGAACTGTAGACGGCGGTGTGGCGCTGACTCGTCGAATGCTGCTGCTCCTGGTGATGTTGTTGTTGTTGCTGTGATGCTGCAATGTTGAGAAGCGAGTCTTTTGCCGGAGATAGCGGAGTGGCCATTGATGCCATTAGTGAGTTAATGGAAGCGGTGGTTATCAATTGTGTGTTGTGCGGCCCTGACGGTTTTAAAGGGGGAAAACTCAAATTGTCCTAGGGACTGGATGAAATGCAACAGGGATATTGATGGATCGATCTACGCTTAAAGCAGACGGTCAAAAAAAAAAAAGGGAGAGAAGAACGGAAAGGGAGAAGAAAAGGATCGGTGATCAAATTCGAACCCCTTTGGATCTTCGTTGGTGGAGGCTTTAAGTTTGGCGTGTCGAGACTTGGGATATTAGTTTGGAACTAATATTTTGGAGGTGGAGTGATGTTTATTATATCTTGTTCTCGTTCTGTTTCTTTTTCTTTTCTGGACTGTCAAGGAGAAACGATGACGATGATGGGTGATTGGCGATGGCTGATGGCTGATGGGTCGCCGTTGCCATGTCGAAGTCCACAGTACGACAAAGTACATAGTTACTTGCTGCTTGTGGACACATACTTGCATGGATCAATCCAATCCGAGAAGGAGCGCTGGATCAATTGGGCCCTCGACGAATTGAGTTCGAGCTTTCCGCGCCGTTTGGCGTGTTGGCGTAGCAACCTTGACTACTGAACCCCACATCGCCGTGGTAATCGCGAAGTACAGTTGTACCTGTCTGACGAAGCAGTGTACACGACGAAGCCTTCATCAGCAGCGAGAACGTCTGGCATCAACTGGCCAGAGTCAGGGGCATGCATGCTCCGAAACGAAACGGTCCAGGGCCGGGACCAGAGTCTAAGACCCTGAAATTTAACGGTAAGTGGAGCATCAATCACCGAAGTTCGCTTGAATGAGATCACTACGAAGTATTAATTACTTCGTACAATTGAAGAATTTCCCAACATGCTTATTTCTGCGGTTGAATTGTCGTGCTGTGTGTGCTCTTGGAAACTAGAATTCCGTAAAACAAGCGACCTGGCAATGCGAGGATTAACTGCGAAGAGTAGCTGACGTTTGTTCATGCCGTTAAGCTCGACATTTCGCCAACGAGTGCTCATCAGCTCATTCGCCCTTATGGCCAAGCGGTAAGGCGTTTCACTCGTACTAGCGATATGAAAAGATCCTCGGTTCAAATCCGAGTGAGGGCATCGTTTTTTTTGTTCCCTTTCTTTTTCTTTTCCCTCTTTCCTTTTTTTCTCCCTTCTTTTTTTCGGTCTCTGCTAGCTAACTAACATCTATTCTTGTCCGTCGTGCGGTGTCACTGGCATTAGCCGTTAGCTGGAGTGTGCTCTAGAGATGCGCTGAAGTCAACGCATAAACGTCATCATATTGAAGATACAGAGAGGTTAAGTGCGTTGAGCAGAGTAAGAACAGCCGTTCTGCAATCAATGATACTAATGGGCATAAATGGGACTTCAGCCTCGCCGGATCTGCACATCATTTAGTGCCTATCCTCAACTCCTAGGGCGCTGGTAACATACGGAGCCTGCAACATGGCCTTCACTGAGATAGAAATCGAGTAGTTGTACAAGTGCGAAGTACTCGGAAGCATTTGTTCATACAATCTCATCGTTTTCGCCTGTTGCTCTGAATGCTCAAAGCCAGTAACCCTATGAATGGGAACAGTAGACAGGGGGTTAGAAGACTAGGTTGTATACCCGACCTCTCTCCTAAGAATCAAGGCAATAGAAAACCTACAACTATTACTTTACGAAGTAGCTGCAAAGGGTGAACGAGAATCTTTTGGGAAAACGGGAACTATTCAAACTAGGTCAAGGATGCGGTGTTTTCAGAAGATGGAAGGAAGGCGGGTTATTCTCCGTATTGTTTGACATGGAAAGGCCAGGTAAAATCGAAGGGGTACGGCTCAAAAGGTCACGAGCAGCATAACGAAATCGTTTCATTTGCATCTGGGTATCTGATTTTGGAGAAATTCAACCTCCAAAATTTCAATAGGGGCTTGACTTTCTGCTCTGCTGTAATGTGAGGTGCTGAAGCCGTCCTCGCCGTTGGCTCAGTCTCTGCTTCCCTCTGTTGATGAACGCGTTGGATCGGCGAATTCGGCCTAGATCTCGTTGAATCTCTTCTCGGTCCAGTCGAACACGTTGTCGTACTTGAACCCTTCGGCGAGGAATAGGCGGCTGAAAAGCTGACGAAGATATGCATAGTCAGGTTCATCCTCGAAGCGTAAAGATCGTGCGTAGTTGATGAACGTGGCGAATTCGACCTCTCCTGGCAATCCTTCGCAGAGCTCTTCCCCAGAGAGGCCCATCTTCTTGTCTCTAATCATGCCTTCCCCATCCCCATCTTCATCTAGCTTAGCCTCCATACCCTGCCACGGCAAGGAGCCTCGCAAAAAATACAACAACGTGTATCCAAGGGACTCTAAATCATCCCCCCAAGACTGTTCTTCGTTGAATTAGTAAAGAGGCGGGAATCGCGCTTGATGTAATGCATACCTTTTCCATTATGATTGTTAATACTCGCATAACGTCTGGTGCCATACAATATCCAAAGTCTGTTCTTTCGATGCAACTCTGCCAGGCTAAACTCCTTGGCCAGGCCGAAGTCAATCGTGTACAATGTATTGCCTTGCTGACCGACGCCCATGACAAAGTTTTCCGGCTTGATGTCCCGGTAAAGAAAGCCCTTGGAGTGGATGTATTCAATCCGAGAGATGGCCTGATCAGCAATGAGGAGGACAGTCTTGAGTGAGAACTTCCGTCCGCAGTAGTTGAACAGATCCTCTAGCGATGGACCAAGAAGTTCGTGAGCTAGCACGTAGTATTTACACTCCTCTCCAAACCAAAAAAATCGTGGTATCCCTACTCCCCCGGCCAGCGCCTTGTAGGTCTCCGCCTCACTCCTGAGTATTTCTGGACCTTCACTGATGTGTGAGAGCTTTAGAGCTACTCCTCGCCGGTTTGGTTATCGATTCCTGAGTCCTAGTGAGCTTTGGTTCAGTTGCTAGATCTGGGGAAGCGCACCGGAATATACAAGGCCGCCGCCTCCCTCGCCGATTTTGCGGTCAACGCGGTATCTATCATTGATGATGATGTCCTGGAAGAAGGATCAGAATATGGCTGTCTTAGCCTAGAGGGAGCAGCAGTTTCGCACCTTCATATTGGACAATGTTAGGCAGTTGTGGTAAAATGAACAAAAACGTAGAGGGCGAGAACTTGTAAGAAGGAGGGAGTTAATCCCAAGCTTGCTCTCGCTGCTGGCAGACAAGGACAATTATATCCTCAGAACTGGATCCATCAGCTGTGACACGCGCCTTTGGCAGGCCATTCCATTGCATCTTACCTCAGCTTCAGCTAAATTTGGAAAATTCTTGGTCGGAGTCGGCTCGAAGCTTCCCATATCTGTGAACGGGTCAGAGGTGCATGCATTCCAGCAAGCATGGCATACAAAGGTACATTCCAGATTCCCACATTCTCAGACTGAGGCCTGCAGTGCTAGGATGGCTTCCAATACTCTTTGAATACCCCTCGAACTTCTCTCCTCTTGGATTCTTTCTACGCGATGACACTCATAAAGAGACCGCAGAAACGAAAGACACCCTACGCCGAGGATGATCGAGCAGTAAAGAAACAACGCACTAACGAGACCGTTCTAGGCGACCATACATCGGAGGGGAAGAGACTTGTTGCCAACGAACCATCTCGGACGAGAAAGAAATCCAATTCGCCAGATGACTACCACCCACCCCCAGCGTTCTGGGATGGGCTATCGAAGGTTTGGCTCGAGCTGGGTGCCTTGATATAGAACTCGACCGTCGAAACAACGAACGCCCTGCTTCAGAGGTCACAAAGGCTGAACTTTATATCCCAAGAATCTTGCTCAATTCTCAAGAAACGGCGCCCCAGATCTCCGTCATCTTCCAGGGGCAAGTACTCTAGGTCTTCCACATTGGTGTGCCCAACTAATTAATTTGATCAGTATGTCGATCCAACGGCCGTTTCCCAAGTAGCGAATGCTAGCCACTCTTCTGCGTCGCAAAGTTTGCTGACGGAGTCAACACATTCGACGAGAATTTCCTCTAAGTCCAGGGAATCGTCTATATACGATAACCATCTCGACCAGCCCCTCACCGACCAGCAACCGCGCCCTTATGAGTCTCTAGATCATCCTAGCCGTCTAGCCTCTCGAGATGTCGATGATGACCTTCAGCGACGTATTGGCGAACATGATGGCGAAGAGAGTGCTATTCCCTGGTGTTTGTCCACAGGAGATAATTCCCCACGAGCGGCGCCGAGAAACTGTAGCACCTAACCCTAATAACCTTTTTGCGTCGAGTTTCATGTTGAGTTTCAAGCGAACGTCTCTTTTCTCCCTTTGGACGAAGGGCTGTATGAATCGTTTGACTTGGGGTTGCACGATTAAGCCCTGGGGTGGAAACACCAGGGAACGATATTTAAGATTCCTGGTGAGCCTCCCGGAATGGGACAGGTTGCTATTACTGGTAACGCATTGTATCTAAGACTGTAGAGATATCAACTAGGAAACTGAATTATTTACACCTCATCCTCCAAGAACTTCAAAAAGTGACAAGCTAAGCCATACCTTAAGTAGTCAAAGATACTCAAGGGGATGGCGGTATTGTCGTGGCTAGAAGTCTCGTCGGTTCTGACGACGGTCAGTACTGTAATTCACAAGTAATATTAATAAAGTTATGATAAGAAAAGATGATCGCATTCTCGATCTACATGTTGTGGTGGGAACTGCCGTCCCTGAAGTATTACCCGGTCGGTTGTGGCGACGGACAGTTCTTCTTCCCTCTTCTCTGGCCCACCATCGTGAGTTCTGGTGGTGGTGGGTTCTGGCGGTTACAAAAAACAGACAGATCTACTGGTAGTGGCCTTCGCGGCCGAATGGTAACTCGGATTGAGAATGGGAGGAGAATGAGGTCTGGAGTTTTGTGGGCATGTCCTCTCGGTAGCAATTGAAGCACATCATTCAATTTACTTTCAGTCCTGTACAGAGCTCACTTACGATGCCCCGACACTAAGCTTGCTATTCAAAATTCATCAATTCAAAAGCTATACGTGAGTAAACACACTCTAACTACAACTTCGCCCTCAGCTCCACAGGACGATGACTCGCCCCCTTCACGGCGAAATACTCCTTAACCTTCGCCTTCGCAACCTCCACAACCGCCGCGTCCTCCACGGTCGACGGCACGGTCACAGGCTTATCAACCTCCCCATGCACCGCGTTCTCCACCAAGTCCCTCAGCACACGCCTCAGCGTCTTGCCCGATCGCGTCTTGGGAATCATGCCCCTGCCCTGGATGATGCCGCCGAGCGTGGCGATGGCGCCCACCTGGGTGCGGACGAGGTTCTGGATCTCGGCGATGAGCTTCTTGTCGGGCACAGCGGCGGTGGGGTGGTCGGATGTGAGCAGCGTCACGAAGGCGAAGGGGAGCTGGCCCTTGAGCTCGTCGGGGATGCCGACGACGCAGGCCTCTGCTACGAGGGGATGGTTGGTGATGGCTTGCTCGATGCTTCCTGTGAACATAATATTGTTAGACTTGGTCTTGGTCTGGTGTAGTAGAGAGAGAGAGGTAACTTACCGCTAGACAGTCGATGAGCACTGACGTTCAAAACGTCGTCATTCCTGGCCATAACGTGAACATAACCCTCGTGATCAATCCATCCCGCATCACCCGTATCAAGCCACTGGCCATTAAACCGCTTCAGGTAGCCATTGTAAAACCTGTCCTCATCCTGCCACAGCGTCCTGAAACCAGTCGGCGCCAACGGCAGAGCAAGAACAATGTTGCCCATCTCACCCCGAGGAACCTCCTTGCCATGGTCGTCCACAATCCTGACGTCGAATCCAGGCATGGCTTTACCCGCGCTGCCGGGTCGGATCTTGGGAGGCGCGTGACCCCTCTCCTTCGTCTTTCTATCCTTGCCGGCGTGGGGGACAAGAGCTCGTCCCGTAATAGGCGAGCCAACTTCCGTCGACCACCAGTTGTCAACGACGTGGGAGTCAATGGCGCCGTGCTTCTCCAACAAATCCTGGTACATGGAGATGAGGGCGGGTTCGGACCGCTCGCCAGCGAGGAAAAGGGCCTTGAGGGTCCTGAGGCCGCCACGCTTGCCGATGCGGTCGATTTGCTTGTTCTCGGGATCCTCACGCTTGATGGCGCGAAGGGCCGTCGGGGCCGTGAACATGGTGGTTACTTTGTATTCCTCGACAATGCGCCAGAAGGCAGCTGCATCTGGCGTTCCGACGGGCTTGCCCTCGTAGAGGACCGTCGCAGCTCCAGTAAGGAGCGGGCCATATAGAATGTACTATATATGTGCGTGTAAGTGGTTTGTTCCATCTACAATCCCAAGGATGGAATTAAATGATTTCCAAAAACTTACCGAGTGGCCGACAATCCAGCCGATGTCGCTGGCAGTGAATGACACACATCCCGGACCATGGATGTGGAACAGATAGCTGATGGAAAGATGCAGCCCGACGGCGTGGCCTCCAGCATCTCTCAAAACACCCTTCGGCGAGCCAGTCGTTCCGCTGGTGTGGATAATGTAGATGGGATCCGTACTCTTCACCGGTACACAGTCCGCCTTGACACCCCTCGCTTTGGCGTCCTTAACCAGGGTAGCCCAGTCCCTCTCTCCCAGCTGCTCGTTCACCTGTGGCCAGGCCAGTTGGCGGCGCTGCCACACAAGAGTCCTGCTCGGCTTGTGCTTAGACTGCCTGAGGGCCTCTTCTACCAAGGGCTTGTAAGGGATGGGGGGCTTGGTTCCGTCGATTCCGCAGGATGATGTAAGGATCACGACGGGTGCTGAGGCGTCGATGCGCTGAGCAAGGGCGTTGGAAGCAAAGCCACCGAATACGACGGCGTGAATGGCACCGAGACGGTTAATAGCTAGGATACCAATTATGGCGGCCGGAATCATAGGCACTGCAATCGGAATTTAGCATTTTATTCATTCACATTTTCAGGTGTATAAGCCGCCGGCGGCCTCTCCTAGCACACATCTCTTCAGGGCAAACCCCCGCTAGCTCAGAATCGGGGAAAATGGGATTAAGGGTATACCGTATTGATATGGGGGGAGACATACTGTAAACAAGAACAACATCACCACGCTTCACCCCTTGCTCCCTCAGCACACCGGCCAGAGTCTCGACCTCGTAAAGCAGCTCCGCATAGGTGATGGTCTGCTTGGTGGCGGTCACGGGGCTATCGTAGTAGATGGCTGGCGCGCTCCCGTGACCGTCGTGCACGTGGCGGTCAACGCAGTTGAAGCAGGTGGAGATCTCTCCATCCGGGAACCAAGTCCAGGTATCGTGGGTGACGCCGGATTTGAGCTTCTTCTCGGAAATCTCCAGGATGGAGGTGGGCTTCTTGTGCCAGTGGAGGTGATCGGCCTGGTGAGCCCAGAAGGTCTTGGGGTCGTTGAGAGAATGATGCAGGACCTCGTCCTGGAGATGATGCAAGTCTGCGCCACCAGCCATGGCTACGGTTGTAGAGACGAACGTCCTTCTTTGGACTGAAATCACCGCGTCAATTTGAAACTCTCTGGCACGACCGCCAAGATTCTTCGATTGGGGCAAGGGTTGTGGTTGTGTTCCGGAGCGATGAATTGGCCAGCTGAGACGGGGTGCTCTTCTATTGATATATGTTGACTGGAGCGACCGAGTCAGCGCGAACCTGGGAACTTTCGTCATCGCCATTTCAGTTCATTCCAGTCAACCGTGCCGTGGATCTGGGAACGGCGTGGACTTGAGACCGACTTCGCCCTTAGGTTCTTTCCCTCGCGCTTTCCCCAACTTCCGTTTCCCCGCACGCCGTAGTTGCACACTTTCACGTTGTTAAGTCACTTCGTCACTTCGTACAACTAGTGTAGTTTTTGTAGTTCACAAAGGCAATTCGCAAACTCGCTGTACTTTTGCTGACCAAATTTCTAATAATAATTCGTGCTCCGTCACAAGATTTTTAGGACGGTCTTGGGTAGAAAAGAGATAAGCGGCTTCTCCGCCCTTCTCCGCTCCCCCGGATTTCCTGATTCAGCCCCGCGCTTTTCCCGCTTTCTATTTGCCGAGGGCGGTCGGCCCACGTCCGGCTGCGATCGAAGCAAGACTCACCCCACTCCAGAGGTCCGGGCGATGCCGCGATGTGGTGTTATCGTTATCACCCTGATCTGCGGTCTGGACCCTTATTTTTTTGTTTTCTTTATTTCCTTTTATTTATTTTTTTCCGCTTTACTTTTTGGTTTTATTATTCTTTTTGCTATTCGCATAATGGTGATTTCTTAGCTCTTTGCGGACGGTGACTCATTTTCAATTGGTGGGTCTTTTTCGAGAAATACGTAGTTACAGAGTGGAGGGGAGGGGACTTTCAGGCCCTCCCTCCAGCTGGGTTAGCTGCCTCAGTCTAGTGTAGTCGACCATCAATTGATCCATTGGAACGAACATAGGGTATCAATTCGTCCCAGACAACTCTTGCCACAAGCTTATAAGCTCGAAGTGAAGAAAAACATACTTGTAGAGCCCCAATTGGCCTATTCCAGCTGAGCGGTGCTCCCTTATTCAATATAGAAAGCTTTACGCCCCTCGTGGCGGTCCGGCACTAACACCAAGACCCTTCGACCCTTCGACCCTCAAGTGTCTCCATTGTCGCAATTAGTTGTCCCCACTCTACGGTACTTGCTAGCAGCCGCGGAGACTCGAACCTTGTAAAAGTATAAGAGCCGGAGGTGGGTCTATCCAGGTGTCCGAAGAGAGGCTCAGATATTGGGTCGCAGGCCAGGAGACATAACCGAGGAAGCAACTCCTATCCCTCTCAACATGTGCCTGGCGTCCCCTGGCCCAAGGGTGCCAGCTAGCATTACTTTCGGCTATTGTTTGTCCCTGTCCACCTTAGCACCTCTGCAGGTTCTCCCGGAATAGGAAGTCAGACCTGGCGAAAACGGCGAATCCTGTGGCAGCAGGCAGGTGTGCGCGAGTTTCGTGGGCGCTGGTTGCGCCTCCGAAACGCATTAGCGCTGGAACCCGGGAAAAATGTAAGCCAAGCCCTCGTTGGCTTTGGCCAGTCCATGGCTTTTGCGCCCCATGTGAGCCATGAGCGTTTGAAGAAAACACCCGGCATCATCCCTGCCGCCGGTAGTTATCCGTGGAACCGGTAATAGTTGACCTTGGCTGCAGACCGGTAGTCCAGGTCCTGAGCCGTACGACCGGAATGCAGCCTCGTAGTTGGCCGCAGTTCATTGTCTTTGCGCCAGCCTTGCGGCCCGCCGACCCGACTTTGATGCCTAACAGGGATCGAAGCGCCACATGACGTCTGCCCGTGTTATCGATGGCGATAGAAGAACCAAAAAAAAAAAAAAAAAAAAAAAAAAAAAAAAGAGTCCTTCCTCCAGTCTCTGCGCAAATTACCCTGATCCAACATGATTTCAAAGTCAAACATAAAAGGACGTGGTTCAGCTGACGTTCCCGTGGCATTCCTTCGACTTCGGCCGGGAGAGATCGGCAGACTGTCTCCGCGATTTTGAATAATTGCACCAATTCCCATGTGACTCTCTATTTGTCGGTTGTCGTCGAGCCAGCTTTCTACCATGGTGTTATTTTCCACCTCAGTTTAGCAGTTGTCGGATCCTTCCCTTCCCTTCCCGACCTCAGAATGCTTCGTTCCGTCGTTCTTTTCCGGCCAGCTCCTGGCTTGTGGAATCCAGGAATTCTTCGGGCCATGGCTGAGGAAGGAACTCTTGTCTTATCAACCGAGCGAGAGGGACCAATTGTACTTTCAAGCGATAATACCTAGATTATGTTGGAACGAGGAGGAACTGTGGCGATAGGGATTCCTCAATACAGTCTCGGGAGGCTGGTAATGAATATACGTTAGGATATTCGTCATTTGCACAGAAACCTACAAAGCACAAGGCAAACAGCCCCTTCAACCCGAAATCGTAACACGAAATCGTAACACTCCGACTTTTACGTCGTGTTTCTTACTCCGCAGTCTGCGCTCTATATCTCGTTGCAAGACGACCAAAACTGAAGTGAAAAACAAGGGGGAATACTAATAATAATGATGATGAATGTCAAGAGCACCGGGATCGGGGCGCTCAGTATCAATTAATCCCTTGCTTCCCTGAATCTTCGAGCTGGCAATGGTTACTACCAGTGTCCCAATTTGCACGCTCCCCAGGTTCAAGCCGGGGAACATTGGGGAATTCCGTCTGGTGGCGCCGCCACAGCCGATCGGGCCAATTTAAATGATAGAAATTAGACCTTTTTTTAAGAATAAGGTTTCCTTCGTCGTTTGTTTGGGCCGGGGGTTGTTGGTTCTGTTCAAGAGGATTGTTGATTTCTTTCGTGATACTCTTGCTGAGACCTCCCTCCTTCTTCTTATTACTCCATCACAAGCAAGGGTCACAAGCCATGATTAGGTCACGTGATTGCGCGTCACTTTGGCAACCTGCCGAGGCGGATCTCGTGAAATGAAATATTGATAAAAGGAATGTGTGTCCCGTAGTAACTTGAGACAGTCGGACAAGTAATTACACGCGTTTTATTCCATTTACGAGGTATTTAGGCGACGGAAAACCCCTCTTTTCTTTCTTCAACCCAATCTTTTACGACTCTGCCTGTGTCAAGGATAACTCTCCAGCTGTGTGAGATGGGGATTGCGAACCTTCAAGTTTATCCTCGGAACTCGAATTTCAGGGAAAAAAAAGGATCTTGAACGACAGGGAGAGAAAAACAAGAAAAGAAAGGAATAGAAAATTAACATTTCTCTGTCCCTCTCGTTCCTTTCTCCATTCTTTCAACAGTTATACTACCGATACCCTCTCGATCTCACCCCCGAACACCGTATCCGAATTGAATCCAACACTGACCGCATCGACGTCGTCAACATCCCTGTTCTGGTTGACCCCTGTACGAAATCCGAAAAAAGCAAGAAGAACGAAGAAGAAATGCCGCCACCACCGCCACTACCCCTCCTCCCCCCAGGCGCAACCAAGCCCCTCCACCGCGGTGCAATTTACGACCCATGGAACAGCTCGTCAACAGGTCACCAGCGCGCCGAGTCGTCTAGCGCAGGGACACACTGGAGGGATTCGAGAAACGCGAAGCTTACGGCGCAATATGGGGGCGGTAGGGGAGGCGGTGTGAGGATGTACGATAAAGTGGGAAGAGGGTCCGAGGATTTCGTGGAAGAGATGGGCATGGCTGTGTCGAAGGCGGTGAGGATAAGGGCCGAGGTCAGTGTTGTCGATATGTTGATGAAGCCCGGGGCTATGAAGGGGACGCTATTACCTGGGGATACAAAAGGAACGGAAAATGAGGCGGACGACGAACGGTTGACTAGTATGGAAAGATTGATGCTGCGTAGGAAAGAGGAGGATGAGAGAGCCGAGAGGAAGAGGGGGATTTTTGACGGCGTCGTGATCTACGTGAATGGGAGTACCCATCCACTAATATCAGACCATAAGCTGAAGCAAGTGATTGTGGAGAATGGCGGGAGGATGTCGCTGCATCTGGGGAGGCGGCAGGTTACGCACGTCATCCTAGGACGGCCGGGAAGAGTGGGGAGCGGAGCCGGCGGCGGATTGGCAGCGGGGAAGCTTGAGAGGGAGATTAAGCGGGTCGGGGGTTGCGGGATCAAGTACGTTGGTGTTGAATGGTGAGTACCCCCTCTTTCGTTTTCTCTCTTCTCTCTCTCCCTCTCTCCTACCTCGACTTCAAGGGTTTATGCTTACTTTGCGAAAAGGGTACTGGAGAGCCTCAAGGCCGGGCGGCGGTTGCAAGAGGCACGCTTCTCGAACCTCAAGATTGCGCATTCCGGACAGCAAAGCGTGTTCGGAATATATACCAAACCGAACAAGCCGAACCCGAAGACGTGAGCCTCTAGAAGCTTCACGGCATTCCTTTCCTCGCGAATCTCCTTTTCACTACCGCCGCTCACTTTTTTTTCCAACCTTGGCTACGAAAGGGGAGCTTTTTTTTTTTTTTATTCTTGTAGCATCAGCAGCATTCTTGGTTTAGGGGAGGGATTGGGTGCATTGAGCGACGGGTTCACGCGGGATGGGGCATGGAACGGTATATTGCATGGCATTGGGAAGCGAGAGATGCGATAATGTAGCATGAATACGATTTTGTCTTTGTGATTCCGAGGTGGCGTTTTGCGTCGTCACAGGAATTTACAAATGAAATATAAAAATCTTAAGGATTTCCTCTGGGTTCATGTTGAGAAAATCATCCTTCCGGAGCTCTCCAGCTCTCTCCTGCTTCCCAAGGAGAACAGGCTGAAGTTCGCCACTGTTTTGTTCTACTACTAGGCTTGTTTCCAGCGAGGAAACATCTTTGCAAGGCCGCTTCCAAATTTTTTTTTTTTTTTTTTTTTTTTTTTTTTTTTTAGGGACAAGCCTCCTGATAACCTCCGCGAAGGCTTCGATCGCTGAAGCGGACCAACTTCGGAAGAACACGGTACAAACAGCGAACCAGGGGATGCTGAAGCCCGATCGCATGATCCAAGACGCTGGGGATAAAACTCCCATAGCCGTGGCCTGATTGTGCCTCGAACAGCAGCAGGCAGCAGCTGAGCCTAGAGCTGATTTCGAAATCTGCTCCTGCCTCGAGGAATATATTGGCTATCAGCACGTTGCCGCCTTGGAGAACGGCAGCAAGAGGCGCCCACTCATAATGGTCTTTGGTGTACATCATTGACCTTTTGAGGAGGAAGAACTGCACGAGACCCGGAAATTGCATATGCGTCGCCAGGTGCAAGGGTGTGATCTCTGGGGAAGGAGAGATATTGGTGGTAGTTCCGTGACCGATCTTGTCCAGATAGCGCAGATAGTAACTTGGGCGGTTCTCAAGGGCTCCAGTCTCCTGGTAACTTTCGCCGGGGGGGAGGGGGGGATACATGCCGGTTTCGTGGAGTATCCGTGAGTAGGAATTTCTCTTCGGTCGCTCGGAGAGGATTTTGTTTGCGAGCGATATGGCCATGACTGCTTCATCACTGGCCTGATTTTCCATCAGACGGAGATGATGGCTCTAATACACTGCCGCGTATTCCGCGAAGCGGAATACCTGGAGTTTCGTCCGGAAAGGCAGCCTCTCTACTGGATCTTCCTCGTTCCGACGCGCTTGAACCTGGTCGAAGAGATCGCGAGGCCTGCACGAGTCGGGGTCATCGCGGAGACCAGTTGTGAATGATATTCCCCTCAGCTGATCGTCAGGGTCTTCTAGAATGGGGAAGGAAAGGTAAGTGCCGCGGAGGAGAGCACTCTTGACACGGAAGTCTTTGAACGATCGTCGCGCTCGCGAATCTTACACATGTATGCCCCCGCTGTGGGATGGGCAAGTCGAACCGTGTTAGACGCCGGCTGCACGATGGTGAAGTTGGAACAGAACCCCGCAATGTCTTCTATTCGCGGAATTCTCAATGGATCAAATGCAGTGTCCCCGAGTGGTACTACGAGGATATGCTGCGACTCGTCCACTCTAAGTGGACGGGAAGCATACGCGACCCAGGATACGGCTTACACGGCTAGATTCCTCTCAAATTCTCCCTGATGCTCAATGAGCCGGAGGATGTCGTCGTATGTCGACGATAGTGCTGTGTGGAGCCCCGAGTTCGTCTCTCACATGCCTGCTAAACTTGGCCGCTTCCAATGCTTCCATATGGAGACGTACGAGAAGAAACCTGTGTTCTCCCGATATTGGCTCCGGGATGGCAAAAAGTTGTGATATCTCCATACATGCCTTGAATGGCGGCAGAGTCAAGACTTGGACAACTGAGAAGACCGAGCGCAACCCAGTCCCGGTGTTCTGGCCTAAAGATCCGCTCAAACTCAAAGTTCCAAACGCCAGGGTGCTTTCTTTCGGATATAGAGCTGCCATAGCTCACTTTTATCCTCTCTATGGGCCGAAAAGTGTCCCACCAAACGCCACCATCCATGATCACTCGGCTGCCCTTCTCGACAACCTTGCCGGCCTGCGCAATCGTACTCGCACAATAAGTTGAACCAGCCTTGGCCCCTTATCATGTTTCAGTGTTGCTGGCTGAACGCATTTGGCTGGTATAATGTAGACAGACAGGCCCATCATATTCGTCGCTCACATCCTTGGTGGTCTGGTCTGTGCCGATGCAGTCTCCACGCCGATGACAGGCTCTGAAAGGGACAAAGAGGGCGACATAGATAAAGTTATCGACATAGTATTCCTTGGTACACCTTTCAGTTTCAAGCGGGCGCGACGGACCGCTCTGGGACGTCAACTTCTGAAAGTATTCTCTGAGACGAAGGAGGAAACTATGAAGGACCTGGAAGAGCAGTCTAAAACGCTGGTCGAAATCAACAACAGGTCCGCCGACTTCGTCAAGAAACAAGATCGTTGGGGGGGGGTTCATTTCTAGAGATTGCGTGCTACTTCGAAGCACACCCTACTAAGATCATAGGCAAGAACGTGGGCTTGATCGTTGACCAGGAGTTGGCCACTCTGAATGGAATAATACCTCTTCCTATTCAGGAGGAGCACACATACATGGGAAAACTTGCAGAGGAGTTCTGAAGTGGCTTCATCAGTATTGCCGATAAGCTCCGGACCTGGATAGAGGCTTTGGACAAGAAAGGGGCGGCTGAACACGAGGTCAGTAGTTTCCCTTGCAGCAATTCTTCCTCCGTCCCCGGTACCTAACATTGATCGATGCTTTTAGGGTGCTGGGGTAAACGCAAGTTCCGTCTATTTCAACTCATCTATCGAAGGAAGCCAAGGCAACGTTGTAGGGCAGATCAATGCTACGAAGGAGCGGGCAGCGACTCTTGTCGGAAGACAGACGGTGCGTAAAGATGTGATGATGCATAGCTTAGGCCGGCCCTTAAGTCTATTACAGGTATTTTATGGCGACTCGTGTGGGGGGACAAGGTAGATCAATTGCCATGAGCATAGCACACGCTACTTTCTGGAGGAGGCTTAAGTTCGAAAAGTATCTTCTAAAGTCTTAAAAAAGAAAATGGGCGACAGAGTTTTATGAAGAGATATATTATATAAATACTCGAGAAATGGCCGGCATCACAAAAACTTATTGCTTCTTAAATTCTAAGAACGTAATTGATTGTAAAACTTTCAACTTAACTCACTTTTCCTTTCCTTTCTTTTCCGTTTCACACCGGTTCAAGAGATTTACAGGGGAAGGCTCTCATGCTTGTACTGCCTCTTCCCCTCACCCTCGCCATAATCAAGAGAAACTTGTCCTTCGCCCCGGATCTTGTACTTATAGATCGTCAAACCCTCGAGACCAACGGGGCCTCGCGAGTGAATTTTGTTGGTGCTAATACCAACTTCCGTGCCAAAACCGTAACGCATACCATCGGCGAAGCGAGTCGAGGCATTCCAGTAGACACCGGCGGAGTCAACGCTAGACATGAACTTCTCGGCCTCGTCCTTGTCCGAGGTGAGGATAGCATCAGTGTGATGAGATCCGTGAGTGTTGATGTGAAGGATGGCCTCGTCGACGGAGCCGACGGTCTTGACGGCGAGAGTGAGCGAAAGGAATTCCGTATCGTAGTCAGCGTCCTGCACATCCTGTATGCTCGACGCGAGACTGGAGTCAGCGTTGAGAAGCGCCTCTTTCGACTCTCCATCACATCGCAGCGTAACGCCCTTTTCAGCGAGACCCTTGGCAACCGCAGGAAGAACTGTAGAGAGTGCGGCGCGGTTCACAAGCAAAGTTTCCAAAGCGTTACACGCCGCGCAATAAGAAATCTTAGAATCGACAACGACCTTAACAGCCATATCGGCATCCGCCGACTCTGCAAGATAGGTAGAGCAGAGTCCATCGGCGTGGCCCAGGACGGGAATCTTGGTAGAATCCTTGATGTACCTAACGAGTTCGTTACCGCCTCGTGGGATGACAAGGTCGATGTACTGGTCGAGGGCGAGGAGCTGGGGGATGACGTCGCGGGTCGTGACGAGCTGGATGGCGCCTTTGGGGACCTTGGTCTGGTCGAGGGCGTTGGAGATGACGGTGGAGATGGCGACGAAGGAGTCGGTGGATTCCTTGCCGCCCTTGAGGATGGCGGCGTTGCCTGACTTAATGGCGAGAGAGGCAATGTTGGCGATGACTTCGGGGCGGGCCTCGAAGATGATGAGAAGGACGCCGATGGGGCAGGTTACTCGTTCGAGTGTGAGGCCATCGTCGAGCTTCGTGCGGAGGGTAATCTTGCCGACTGCATACCATGCGGAGCTCATTAGCACTACGAGGAACGGGGTGGGGAAAGAGGTGTGTGTGAAGAAGAATCTGGAATCTGAGTAAAATCATACCGGGATCGTCCAACTCCTTCACGTCACGAATGCCCTTTAACATATCGTCAAACTTGCCCGGTTTACCTAGGTCCAGCCTCGCCACTAAGCTCTGCGACAAGCTACCGCCAGCGGCAGCCTCGCGAGCCTTCTCCATATCCCGCGCGTTCGCCTCAAGAATGGCATCCTTGGAGGCGAGGAGCCCGGCATGGATAGCATCGAGAGCGGCGTTTCGATCCTCAGCCGAGAGGGTGGCTAGGGTCAGAGCTGCCGTCTTCGCCTCGAGGGCAGCCTGCGATGGATCGGCGTTTGTAAGGGACATTGTAGGATTAGTCGTCGGGAAGGAGGGGGGAGCTTTGGGAGCTTGGGGCCGTTTCGGGAGAGTTGAAAAGTGTGCTGGGGCCCCGAGGAGGGTCTAGGCAAGTCTGTCTAGCTTAAAAAGGACCTGGAGAGAACCAAGGAACTTGATCGAGGAAGGGGGCAAGTGCAAAGAGACACGCAACCAAGTCAGGGTATAGTACAGGTAGACTGATTTCTCACCTCAATGTGAGTAATTCCATACGATCAAATTCGATTTACCTGCAAATCATGGAGGGGTAGAAATTGTATGGTACCATTGTACCCTGGTGGTACTTCGTATGGAGGGGCAGCGTGGGGTACAAAAGCTCTGCTACCAACTTTACCCAAGGTACGAAGCCCTTCCGATGCCGCAGGGACATTTACCTGGAGGTCCTCTCGCCTACGAAGTATAATCCTTTTTTGGAGCACCCACATTAATACTGCCTAAAATGTGCTAAAATATGGGGATTCGAATTGACGGCCTAAACAAAGTGCAAAGTATTAATCGGCAGGCAATTCCGGGGTAGATGTCATGTCAAAGTGTAAATTTCGGGTCTGGGCCATGCGTGGGAGAAGCCTTTGAAGACTCGAGAAAATGGGAGGAATTCTCGTTCGAGTTATATCTCAACGGTCCACCCTCTTGCAAGTAAATTCTTCGCTCAGGTTCTTCTAAGACCATCTCCTGTGAAAAGCACCCGATTCCACAATAGGGTACCAGAACATAATTGGACAATGGACAGCGATAAATTGACCTATCAGGAGCATGATATTTGTGCCGATGTGATTAGTCATGATTCCGAATTCAGCGACTCCACCGTTCGGCAAAATCGGCTCCGATGTGGATCCGATAATTAACATCGTAACCGCTTCGAGTTAGACACCGCCCTTTGCCTTCGGGGGTGGGTGGGTCGCCCATGAGTGACTCGAAAATACCACCCCAGTTTTCCAGTTTTCTTCCTTCTCTGTGGGTTTGGTTTGGGGAATGCCCGGGCGAGCTTCAGTAGATCCGGCCTTTCATTGGGGATCGAAGGCCTCCCTGGAATACGGTGCTGGAAGTCTCATCCTCTCCTTCTAGATATGGTCCTCTCCCGAGTCTCGTGGTTCCGATCTCCGGCGAGATCGCCGGCACTTCGGCACATTTCAACGAAAACCGGCGCTGGGCGCGGCCAGAGACGGAAAGCCTATCGTCACCAGACTCTCGTATTGCAACATTTCAAAGGTTCTTTTTCTCTTGGATCCCGTCCATTGCCACTGTGACTGGAGGATATCCGTGCATCTAGCGGATCTGGAAAGGGTGTGATGGCTATGCTCGCCGTCAACTCTTGCATTTTTTGCGCAACTATGGCCCATGGGCGATTGTGGATTCCCTCCCCGGCCCCGCTCTCCTTCCATTGTCCCAATTATGTGGTGTATAGTTTAAGTGGTCCAGAGTCAAGCCTCGGCTTCTTGAAACTACGAAATATTAACGGAGGTTATCTCGACTTCGCAGGCGTGCACACTTTGGTCTCTCTTGTCTCTCTCTTGTCTCTCTCTCTCCCCCCTCACCGACCGAATACGCTCCTGCATCCTTGCAAGATCCGCTTTTCGCTCCGCTTCAACTGCCTGTTTGAACCATACCCAAAGATTCACGAGTCCAATCATGTTATAGCGATATCCAAAATTTTCCATCTGATCCCTACTAGTTTTCATCCTTCGGGGAAACAAACATGCTCTATATGCGATTCACATCCGCCTTTCTAACTCAACGTTAGCCAGACTGTCGTCTCGAACGAAGATACAGACAGGCTTGATCACTATTTTAGAGCTCGTCCATCCAGATAGTATGTTCTATAGCCTCGTTACATCTACAAGGCAAAGGAATGCGTCCTCCTTACTATCGCCACCCCCAGCTCTTGCACGCGCGCCTCCAATTGAAGTAATACGTGCCGTGTCTTGATTCTTCTACCCCCAGCTGCTGTCTACAATAGAGAAACACCACAAACATGGCCGACTTGCCTGACGAAAAGGGCAATTTGCCTGCCGGAGAAAAGACCCAACAGGGAGCACCAGATTCCAAGAACAGCGCAGGAAGCCGCCACTCTTCCGAGAGTACCATCCCGAAGAAGATGGGGAGCCGGAGCCGCGAAAGTCTCAGAGAGGGGGAAGCCGTGAACGACGTCAAGAGCGAACACGCGCATGACGACCACGGAGACGAGTCCCATGATGAACATGACTCCCACGATGACATGGATAGCGATGAAGATGAAGAATCGCATGCCCACTCCGACGTGGAGGATCAGCGTGTGCCGACGCGGACGTCGTCGACGCACTCGAGGCCCGTCTCCGTAATTCCCAGGTCGAAGCGCAGAGGGCTGCTTGGCAGGTTTAGTGTCATCCCCGAGGTCGATCGGCCTTACGATTACAGCAGGTCTACGAAATGGATGCTCACGGGTGTTGTTTCGATGGCGGGTGCTGTTGCGCCGTTTGGATCGAGCATCTTCTATCGTAAGTTTTTTTTTTTCTTTCTTTTTTTTTGTCGGATCCGGTATTTTGTGCTGGCTTGCTCACAGGGCTGGTGTCTTAGCTGCTCTTGGTGTAATGTCGGAAGAATTCCATACGACGCAGACCATCACCAACTTATCCATCGCCATGTACATGATCTGTAAGAGCCCCCTTCACCCCATTCTTGAATGGGCAAAGCGAGCACTAACACTAGAGCGATAAGCCATGTCAATCTTTCCCCTTTGGTGGTCCTCCTTCTCAGAAGAATTCGGCCGCCGCTCAATCTACGTCGTCACCTTCTCCCTCTTCGTCATCTTCTCCGTCCTCAGCGCCGTGAGCACAAACATCGCCATGCTCATCGTCATGCGCCTCCTAGGCGGCGGTGCCTCCGCCTCGGTCCAGGCCGTCGGAGCCGGTACCATCGCCGACATTTGGCAGGTGAGGGAGCGAGGGAAAGCCATGGGCATCTTTTATCTCGGGCCGCTGTTAGGTCCTCTCCTCGGACCCATCATCGGCGGTGCGCTCTCCCAGGATTTGGGTTGGAGGTCGACGATGTGGTTCTTGACGGGGTACGGCGGCATTATACTTGTTCTCATCATTTTCTGTCTTCCCGAAACGTTGGCAGTGAAGAACCAGCAACCTCTGAGACCGACTACGACTCGCGAGTCGACGGCGTCCTCTGTTATAAGCGTTCATGCAAAGAGGTCCGCTGACTTCCTGAGGCGCATATTCCTCAACCCCTTCCGCGTCATCGCCATGCTTAGGTTCCCTCCCATCCTCCTAACCGTCATCTGGGCGGCCGTCACCTTTGGCTCTCTCTATGTGGTTAACATCTCCATCCAAAACGCATACTCAAACCCTCCTTATTCTTTCCAAATGATCATCGTCGGTCTCTTCTACATCCCAGCTTCGGTAGGCTACATCCTCGCCTCCATCTTCGGCGGTCGGTGGATCGACTACATCATGATTCGCCAGGCGCGTAAAGCAGAGCGCTACGATTCTCGCGGGAGACTCATCTATCTCCCCGAAGAACGGTTTGCCGAGAATGCCTGGACAGCTGGGACTATGTACCCCCTTGCTCTTATTTTGTACGGCTGGACCATTCAGAAGGGCCTGCATTGGGTAGTGCCCTCTATTGGAACATTCTTCTTTGGTGTGGGATCCATGCTCGTCTTTGTAAGTTCTGCCAGCCACTTTCTCTCGGCACACGCCGAGAAAAGAAAAAAAAAAAAAAAAAAAGTCTCTTTCGCTAACTATCTTACTAACTTCCTAGGCCGTTGCGACTACCTCGCTCACAGAGTTTATGCCCAAACGTGGCTCGGAAGGTGTCGCAGTCAACAACTTTGTACGAAACATTCTCAGCTGTGTTGGCGCCATCGTCGCCGAGCCTGTCATCTCCGCTATTGGCAACGGCTGGACATTTACTATATTAGGCATCTTTAGCTTGATTCTAAGTTATATATGTATTTGGATGATGAGGACTTACTCACAGAAGTGGAGGAAGCAGATTGACGACCATCTCGACAAGACTCGAACGCGATAATGTGTTAATGGATATTCATATATGAAACCCTGAGTATGCAGTGATCGAATAATATGGGATAGAAAGGGCAGGGTCACAATGAGTATATAGATTTATATATACCCTAATCAGAGTAGATACTAAGTTGTTTTCCCTAAGTCTAGACCTCAAAGGGAACATCGAAGCCACCTCCCAATCCTCACCACTCCATATAAGATACCCTCCCTTATAGCTCCTCCTCCCCAATCTTCAACAACGCGGGCAAAGCATCCAAACTCAAATTCCCGCCGGTAAACACAACCCCAACATCCCACCCCTCCTCGCCCCCCTGCCTCTCCGCCAACTCCCTAAAATCCTCATTAAACAGCACAACAGCCAACCCCACCACGGCGCTCGGCTCCACGACGACCTTCAACCTCTCCAGCACGAACTTGAGCGTCTTGGAAATCTCCCGCTCCGTCACGCTGAAGGCGTCCCGCACGAGGTTGCGCTCGCCGCGGATGATGGACCACGGGATCGGGCCCACGGGCGTGCGGAGGCCGTCGGCGATGGTGAGGGACTTGACGGCGGGGATGGGGGATTTGAGACCGGCTTTGAAGGCGCGGGCGAGGTCGTCGGCGCCTTCGTGGGAGGGTTCGGCGGCGAAGACGGTTATTCCTGTGCCTTCGCACTTGTTTTTTTAACGTATTATGTGAGAATTATGTTTCGAATAGGTCAAGATGCGAACCGTGAGAAGGAAAAGAGGTATAACTTACAGAGAGAGCTATACCAGAGAGAAGACCACCGCCGCCACATGGAGAAATGATGGCGTTGAGAGCCTTCCTGGACGTCGGAGTAGGGCTAGAAGCTGCATTCTCAGCAATAAGCTGCGTAGCTTGCTCCTGAAGCTCGAGGCCGACGGTTCCTAATCAAATCGACGTGTCAGTTCATAGCTCTTCGCCTTCGCGATCTCTAGGGGAAAAAAGAAGGGAAAAATAAAGACTGGAAAAAAAAAAAAAAAAAAAAAAAAAAAAAAAAGAGAAAAACCCACCCTGACCAAGAATTACATCGGGGTAATTATAAGGCGGCACGAACCTCGCCCCCGTCTCACTCACAACCTTCACCAACATCTCCTCCCTCTCCGGCGCCGTACTCCCACTCTCATAAACCACCGCCCCATACCCCTTCGTCGCCTCCACCTTCTTCGGGTTCGAAATAGCCGGCATGACCACGTGCGCGGGTATCCCATGTTCCCTAGCCGCCAGCGCTATAGCCTGAGCGTGGTTCCCCGAACTATGCGTGGCGACGCCCTTCTCCCTACCACCGGCTTTCACCCATTCCTCATCCTCGAGAAGCCTCCCCACGGCGTGGAAAGCCCCTCGCGCCTTGAACGCCCCGATCCGCTGCAGATTCTCGCACTTGATCCAGATCCTCAGCGTCGGTTTCGCCCCTTCTTTCTTGCCCTCCCACGCCGTGCCCTTGAGTTCTGAGGCCGTGCGCCGTCGCGACGCGAACTCGTCGAGAGTCCGGCTGTGGATCACGGGGGTTCGGTGCACGTGGGGTTTGATGAGCTCGTGGGCGGCTTGCACCGCAGCGCGCGTTAGTGGCGGGCTAGTCTTTGGGTCGGCCATGATGGTATTTGTCATGTGATGGGATCTTGTTGTCGTTGCGATGGTGGTGATGATCGGTCGAAGTTGTGTTGGTGAAGCGGGATCAAAGTGGGGGAGGCGGAAGCTTGCAATTGGCGTCGCTGGTCGGATTCTCTTTGCCCAGAGAGAGATATAGAGCATGGCAATTAACCAGTTGAGGGGGGCGGATTGACGAGAGTCTTATAAGCTGCGCTTCTATCGGTTTGCTTCGGGAGACACAAGAGAAGAACCGTGGATTATTATGCCGCTGTTACACTTCGAGCTTCCTATTTCGAGCCATCATGCCCGGCATCATCGATAAATTTCTCTTGGCTTTGCTTCATCCTGGTGTCAAAGGCGCCCTTTTTAAGTGGGAGGAACTCAGTTGAACTTCGAAACGTTACAATCTCCGCACCTAATTGCATCATCTTGGGGCGGGACTCGCTTCAATACACACCTACTGAGCTTAGCCAGCCGAAACTAGACAATGCAGGATAATCGTAAATGCAGTGAAAATACGACGAAAGGAGGAGAGACTAAAATAGAGCTTTAATGGAGAGAAAGAAAGCTCCCGACACCGGAACCCGTTGTATTATCAGCCACAACACATATTTCACGACGAGACAGAAGTCAAAATGAGAGCAACATTCGAGGAAAAATGAAACACAGGCGTAGACAAAAACAGAAATCGTCAGTCTTTATCAACAAGGCTTTTCCAACCGACAACGCACTCTACAAATCCGCACAGTCTTCCTCCCTTTTTTGTTCCCTTTTTACTGTTCAACCCGGATATTTAGTAAGTATACAAAAGACTGCTGGGATATCGAAGGCCCTAAACCACGGCCAAACAGACAGTCCTTGCGCCCCAGACGAACACAACTCCCAACGCGCTCACTCAACTATCACCAGCTTATTTCTGGTTCTCGGGACGGAGGGCCCTAGTGGGGGGAAAAAAGTTAGTAATAGCATTCCCCACAAGGCATAACACAAACTGGCATCTCAAGAAGGATAATTCTTACCTGACGGCCTTGCCCGCCCTCCAGATCTCCATGTTGCGGATCTCCTCCATCTCGGCCTCATACTTCTGCCTGTAGTCAGGCTGGCTGTTGTAGTCGAGCGACCTCTGGGTCTCGGTACCGTTCTTGACGGAATCGTAGAGGTCGTTGAAGACGGGCTTGAGGGCATCCTTGAAGCGGGGGGTCCAGTCGATGGCACCACGGCGGGCGGTGGTGGAGCAGGCCTCGTACATCCAGTCCATGCCGTTGGCACCGATGAGGGGGTACAAGCTCTGAGTGGCCTCCTCAACAGTCTCGTTGAAGGCCTCGCTGGGGCTGTGGCCGCGCTCACGGAGAACCTCGTACTGGGCGAGGAACATACCGTGAATACCACCCATGAGGCAGCCACGCTCACCGTAGAGGTCGGAGTAGACCTCCTTCTCGAAGGTGGTCTTGTAGAGGTAACCGCTGCCGATGGCAACACCGAGGGCAATAGCCTTCTCCTCAGCCTTGCCGGTCACGTCCTGGAAGACGGCGAAGGAAGAGTTGATACCACGGCCCTCACGGAAGAGAGAGCGGACGGTACGGCCGGAGCCCTTGGGGGCAACGAGGATGACATCGATGTCCGTGGGGGGCTCAACCTTGGTGCGCTCCTTGAAGACGGGAGAGAAACCGTGGGAGAAGTAGAGGGTCTGGGGAAAATAGATAATGATTAGCCCAACTTCTTCGCCAAGATTGTCCGTTTCGGCTAGCGGTAAAGGAGCGAGAAGAAATGAAGGCTTACCTTGCCCTTGGTGAGCTGGGGCTTGATGTGAGCCCAGGTCTCGGACTGAGCGGCATCGCTGAGAAGGTTCATGATGATGGAACCGCGAGAGATGGCCTCGTCGACCTCGAAGAGGTTCTTGCCGGGAACCCAGCCATCCTGGATGGCGTCCTTCCAGGACTTTCCATCCTTGCGGACACCAATGATGACATTGAGACCGTTGTCACGGAGGTTGAGGCCCTGGCCGTGACCCTGAGAACCGTAGCCGATGAGGGCGAGGGTATCGTTCTTGAAGTAGTCCTATTACCGACGCAACTTGTTAGAGCAATTGAACCGAAGCTAACGTGTCAAGAAGGAATGCGTTGACAGCTTGAGATAGGGATGATAACTCACGAGAAGCTTCTCCTGGGGCCAGTCGGCACGCTCTGGAGGAAAGAGGCAAGAAAAGTTAGTTCAAGCAACCGAGGCACATAAAACGAAGGAAAAAAGCGAAATGCCGAGACGAGCTTCGAAAGCCTATCGATCTAAAGGTTCATTCATTACGCACCATAGACGTCTTCCTTCGATCCGGCAAAGTCAATCGTCTTCATGCCGCGGACCTGCTGAGCAGGGCCGACCATGGCAGGGCGAGCCTGACGGGCCAAGCTCCGACCCGCGGCAGCGATGGTTCGCTGCTGGACGGCGGGCGAGGCCAATTGGCGAATCAATTGCGAGCGAAGAGCCCGGGAAAAGGTTCGGGAGGCCATTGTGTCTGATGTGGAGGATGGGGAGGAGGAAGAGAGGAAGTGGGAGATGGAATTGGGGATTGGAAGAGTGATTGAGGAAGGTTCAAGAAGAAGAAGAAAATGGTTGAGGGGAGATGATGATGCACGATTTGGCGGGTGGGCCTGGGGATGGTGAGGAAGGAAAATGGGTGACTATTTAGGTACTTTGAATATCCACGGTAGCTATTATTTCCCTTCTTTTTTCCGGTCAAATTTTTCGATATTTTGGGCTGTGAGTCGAACCGACTCACCGACTTCGGGGGCTTGTTGGCCTCGCCTGGCAACGCCAACGCCAAATCCCACTCAAATTGTGGGGGGAGCTTGTTGGATGGAGTAACAGTTTGAACCAATCACAGACCTGGCAACCAATGAAATCCCTGCCGCTTATTGGTCTGTAGGACCAAAAAGGCGTGGAGCCACACGATGGTGGGAAATAATGAGTTGATCTTAAAATTAATTAGATAAGCAGAAGCTACGATCAAAGTCCTCGCAGCTCCTAGTCCGGAACGGGGGCAAACAGCACGTTGGCCTTGCTGCCGTTGTTCGGACTTTACATTCTCACGCTCCGAGACGATCTCTGACTCATGCAAGGGGCTAGGACTACGACGTCACACATTTCCTTGTAAAGGGAGGAGCCTCAAGGCTCTGTATATTGGACGCGCCGATCGAGGTCCGGACGCAAAAGAAAATGAAAGAGTCAAAAGAAAATACCAGATTGCCGCCTCGCTCGATGCCCAACCATTCCGTACTTCGTAAGCAAATGCCAACGTTCGTCCTCCTCTTGCAACGACATGGAACGACATGGAAACACCATCTATGGGTCACTACTAGCTCCCTGTGTCTCTCTTGCTCTGTCTCTCTTGTTCTGGTGTGTCGCCTACACGTCATGCCTCTATCTTCCTGGATGCATCGGGGAGATTCGTAAATACAGGAGAATTCACCAGGTATGAGGCGATGTCTACACCCAAAGGTTGGCCCACAGATACCACACCTTTGAAGTCCATGGTTGTCTGGGTAGGGACCAAATGCCGCGCCCCGACAAAGAGGTGTTTATTTTAGTACCCGGTCGTAGGTGGTACCCTTAACAGATCCTCCATTCATCGATGTTCTCACGTTTCGCTTGAACATTTCCCTTGTCTGCCTCAAGTCGTCGGCGGCCTCCTTGTTCAGTGGATCGGATGCGTTGGGTTCGAGGAACAAAAACTATTAAACAGAGGAGACGTAGAACATGATTAGCAAAGATGCCATATTTTCAAGGATTGGGACTCGGGACGAGTTCACTTCGCCTCCCCCCCACCCCCCAAGCTCTGGATCAGCAACGTACCTGCAGTCCTACAATAACCGCATTGAGATTGAGAACAGGCTTCCAGTCTTCTCGCAGAATGTTGAGGCACACCTTGCCCTCGAGATCAATATTTGGGTGGTAGATCTTTTCGCGGCATCGCACCTTGGGAGGCTCGTGCGGGAAGTTCTGGTTGATAGCAAACGTAAATGTAAAGGTGCCGCCTCGGTACATGCCCTCGTCAGGCTCTATCGTAAGGATAAAGTTGAGGATGTCGTCTGGGTCGGGGAACTCGGTCTTCATGGTCGATCCAAGGGACAGCTCCGAGAGGTCTGGCGAAAACATGAGAGCCTAGTGTTAGCCAGATGATCGATATAGAGGGGATGGCGAAGGGCGAGGAATAGCCGGGATTAGGCATACCCTTCTGCACTCGAAGTTGAGCTGCTGTCACCTTCTTCTTCTTTCCCGCCGCGCCTTCAGCATTTTCCGCCTTCTGTTGCTCTTTTTTCTATATGCACGCGGCATGTCAGTATGAATTCTAGTATAACTGCGATTTCCATCTGGACCCTGCTCACGAGACGCTGTGTGAGAGACCAGCACGTGGGAGGGACGATGACGCACCATGGACCATATTTTAAGCATGATTGTGGTGTTTCAACCTAGTTAACGAGCCAGGAACTCTCGGCGGGAGAAGCGAAAAGGAGTCGAAAGGGAAAGGGGGCTGGAAGGCGGAAGATCGTCACTGTTTGCGAATGGGGGAGGGGGAGTTGGCGATGGAGGGGTAATAGCTGGAAAGGCGAGCTGGGTCGTGTAGAATGGTAGGTGTAACCCTCGCCTGTGTGTTGCTGATAGAAGTCTAAACGGAAGGAGTGGGAGAATGGGATTCGATCTGTTCCGGCGTCTGGAGGGAGTAAGTAGAACTTTGTCTCTGCCTAGGTGTTTGTTCGGTTTGTCAGTGGCTTAGTGGTGGAGGCAAGGCCGCAGTCGCAGGTTAGGCTGCGGATTGCAACATCAAGGTAAAGGCAGAAATTGGAGGTCTCTCCACTGACCATGCCACTGTACATCTGTACCTATCGGAGGGCGCAAGATTAAATTTACTGAGTACCTTGATCTAGTTTACCCGGGGATTTTCCAGCCTAAGAGAGATCTTGGGAAGTAAATGTTCTCCCGTTCAACCACAGAGAATGGGAAGCCTTCAACCAATGTTCATTTGATCTTTGGTATATTTTCCTATCTACTATTTCTAGGCCACTCATGGGCACTGGTTGCCCGAAGGAAAAGAGTGGCCATTTTTGTTTTTCTGTCCCGAAGTTGTAATTTCCCGTCTTACAAAAGAAGTCTCGTCGTCCAGTTGAACCATGAACTGTAGTCGACTCCCATCCGATTCAACATCAGATGAGGTCGAGTACTCTTTCCCTCGCGCGCTGAATATAAATACAATGAATAGGAAAAGATAAACAAAAGAACGCCGGGTATTTCGGCCGTTGCGGTACCTCCCGCACAACCAGGCCAGCTGAATAAATGGTACAGACTTGGGGCAAGATGCTCCCAAGACGGAGAAAGAAAGAGACATCCATGTCAGGCAGATAGAGATAAGAAAAAGCATAGGTCAACAAGTCTTGCCCCCCAAAACTCCAGGCTCTAGAAATAAACCCGCCGAAGTGAAGAGAAAAAAAAAAAGAGCAAGAATGATTGGAAGAATGAGAGAGAATAGCGGGAAGGTCAAAGGTATTTCCCAGAATCTGTTTTGTCTGTGCTATACCTCCCAGAATATATTCGTTTCAAAAGCCTTTGAATGGATCATCTCGAGAAAAGAAGTCATCCTCTCCATTTCTACTCCAGTCGTCCGTGGCTCGCGTACCGCGTGAATGGTAGCTGTCACGATTTCGATTGCGGCTATTGCGCCTCCGAAGTTCTTTGCTTCTTCTCCTCGCGAAGTTTTGGAATTCGTCTAGCTCATCAGGGTAACCGTCCAGTCTTGGGAACGCAAGTGGACTGATAAATGCCTCCATCCGGACGGTTCCGATCGCATCGAAAAAATTGCTTGGGCGAGAGGATGCTTCCGATGTCCGCTGAGACGCCGTGTTGCTCATGGCCCACGTTCCGGTGCTCGAGGCTTGAGACTGGTAGATATCCGACGAACCGGCAGTACCAATGCTGGCCCCCGCTACGCTATTCGTTGCGGTATGCTGATAGGAACCGCTTCCGGCAGGGCCCGAAAACCCCCGGAAGGACAATGGTGGTGGAACATGGCCACCTGTATTGCTTCGCTTGCGGCCATGGACCATGACGTTGTTAGCTCGTTCTTGGATACCTCTATCCTGGAAATTCCGCTCATGGAATCTTGGGATGTAGGGAGGCTCGGCGGCTTCACGGGAGCCATCACGTTGGTGGTTGCCGGGAAGGGGCGGGAAAGCGTCGGGGTTCCTATACGTCGATATGTCCCCTATTTGCGACGGTGGCGGTTCGTCAGGAATACTAGGTACGCTCGGAGGGCCAGCTTTACTGAAGGCGGCCTTGCTCTTAGTGAGCCGAATGGAGTCACGGATTCCTGGCCGCCTTGGTTTAGGCCGTGGTAATTCAAAGTCTGGGATAGGTTTCGGTGGCTGAACCGCCACTATTTCAGGGATGGCCTGCGACGAATGCGCAAGGAAGGATAATGCCGTCAACCAGATGTAATGTCGCTCAGCTGACACCGCCGTGAATTTAAGTGCCCGTTGCGGGGTCAGGATGAGGATTGATCGGTTAAACAGAGTTGGATTACCCTTCGGGCTTGGGTTATCATCCTTGACATCGAGCACAGATTGAATTGTGACTGTCAAAAGTTTACAGTTAGCTTTCCCGAACTTTGATCGCTCATATCGGATAACTAAAAAAATAAAAAAATAAAAAAAAGAAAGGGAAGAAAAAACTTACATTTGCGGCCCGACTTGCCCATGAGTGTGCTGTTGCTGGAAGGCTGCTTGCTACTCCATAGGATAGCGCGCTCATAGGGCGCTAGCCATACCCACCGCTTATGCCGGTCGTTGCTTGTCTCATCCCTATTGCTCGCTTCTGGAACGCCAAAAGACTTTCTCCTTCGCACGTACTTGAACATCCACTCACCAACCATCGTCTGAGCGATGGCGTCAACAACGCCAGTGCTTTGAGAGGTGGAGGCTGCATAGTCCGTGTAACTAGTGAAGGCTGTGTTGGTGGACGGCTGGGACTGATGAACCCTGTACCTCGTTCCACTACCCGCCCTGTTTCGAGGGGTGGTGATATCGTTGGATGGAAGTGGAGGGAGGCTTGGACTCTCAGGGGGGTCAATGGGTTCATGGAAGAGCGGTGGCGGTGATCTGCTGCCATGTCTCCTATACCTTGGCTTGACAGGAATTGCTGCCGCAGAACGAACCTTGCGGATGCTGTTGGCACGGTAGTGGCTCCGACTGCTACCTCGTCGATGCCAGCTTTCACCAGATCGCGTGGGGCTTCGTTGGCCATCACTTGGCGCGCTGGCGCTAATTGGTGGTCGTCGGGAGCTAGCCCTCGTGGGAATAGGGAATGGCGGGTCACGAGCGTCGGTGAAGCTCGGGGTTCGAGCTCGTCCTTGATGGGTAGCAATTCCGCTTTGGATCATAGCTGCCCTGCGCATGATGTTGACCTTGCTGGCGGTTCCAATCACCGCCGTCTTTTCGTAAGACCGAAGAGAGCGCTTCAATGATGGTCGCCTAGAGAGTGGTTCACGTCCCTCAGGAAGACTATAGCTACTATATATCTCCGCGCTGCCTAGAGGCCTTACCGAACTCCTACTAGAATTGCGGCGTGACGACATGAACTGTTCGGGAGACATGGAACTGGAAGTTCCGGAAGAATTTCGTTTAGAAGTCCTAGGCGCAGCGCTGGTGGCCCCCTTTGGTCGAGGGGCGGATAAGGCGGTTCGGAATTCCGAGTCGCTAACATCGGCCTCTGCGAATTCATCAGCTTCGTCAGAGCTGCCACCATCGAATCCTGCGAAGAGGCTGCTGATTCGGTGAGGTCGCTTGACTGGGGCCTTCTGGCTGGACAGGGGGCCATCGTCGTTATTGCCGGGATAAGCATCATGAGTCTCCTCTGGACCGGTCGGGATTTGAGGCGGGGGTGAGGACGGGATCTCTGGCACACTTGTCCTGCTTAATAGGCGCCTAGGGTTCCTAGGTGGCAGGTTGCCAGGAATAGGGGTGAATTGCCGCCCGTCCTCCATTGGGCTGGCCGGTGTGGGGGGCCGCGAGGTGATGGCCGAAGGACGCAGATGCTCGGGGAGTTGGGCAAGACGCTGGTCGATTCGAATCTCTTCCGTCTGTACCGCAATCGATGACACCTCCACCGTCTTCGTCATGTTCACCTGGCAGCCGAAATCCTTGAAGTATTGGGGCAAACGAGGTTCCCGCGGCGTGGTCGGGCGACTGGTGGGAGGGACGATGCTGATGCTAGGAATCGATAGCTGAGGCATAGGGAAGGTGTCAGGTCGTGGGAGTGGTGGCGGGTCAGTCTGAGTCGAAGATGATACCATGGGCACGGGCAGTGGGGTAGGCTGTGCCACAACTGGCGGCGGAGTAATTGATCGGAACGGTGACTTCGGAGTCTTAGGCGGACTCAGGGGCCCCTCAATCGTCTGGGACCCGGCCGAGACCATCTGGTGAACATGGCTCTTCATTGGATCAATACTCAAAGGACGGCCGTGGTGTACTCGCTTCCTCCTCTGGTTTGCCTCGATTTCATTGTCACCGCGAGGAGAGCCACGACCTGACGGACTATCCCAATCCTGAGCCTTCTCGAAGCGTGCAACAGGCTCCGGGGTAGACGGCTTGGAGGGTTGTAGCTTTGGCGAGGGTGGAGGCGAGTACTGAATACCGGTGTCGGTATACGTCGGTTTAGGTGGCTGTGACTCGGCTGTCTCGTCATCCTCGCCGATGCCGTCCTCCAAAATCTCTAAGACAGACTGGTTGACAAAGAGTCTGCCACGAGCGACGCTTCCAGGCCGCCTGAGGCTCTCCATGCTTTGATTGCGCCTGTGCATACGAGACATAACACTATCCCTACTCATGTTCCGAACGTGATTGTGGTTAGAGAGCACGCTTTCCCTGCCGTCATTGTCCGTCTGCCAGTCATCGTCGCCATCGAAATTAAGCTCGTCAGCGAGAGAATGACCGTTAAGCTTCGCGGCGTTGGGACCACTGAGCACTGAGAAACGGATACTGTTCGTCATGCTCATCGTCCTGACGCTGGCAGCATCGTTATCCTTGGGCATATCCTCGGCCTCGCTCTCTATGCCGTTTTGTAAGCCATTTGCGTGAGCGGCTTGGTAGGCTGCCACCTCATCAAGGACGACCTTCAAACGGCTCTCAGCAACGTGGACCCGACGCTCATATTTACGCTTTTCCTCTTCCCAGGCGTCCTTTTCGTTCGCCCACTGCTTGTGAACCCTTTCGGAATCCTCTTCCTGGGCTCGCACCTTCTTCTGCGCCGCTTCGAGCCGCTTCTTAGTTTCTGTCACCGAATCGATTGCTTCATCTCGCTCTCGTGCTAACTCCCCCAAGGCTGAGGACGTTCCGCCTTCTAGAAGGGTTAGTTGACGTTTTAATGACCTATTCTCCTTGGTCGTATTTGTGACGTTTTCTTGGAGGGACTCTTGTTCTTCTCGTGCCGCTTGCAGTGATGTCTCGAGGTCCTCGATAAACTTCGTCTTTTCCTCCTGGTCTCTGCGCAGTGACAAGATCTCGGCGACTAGGTTGGCATGAAGGGTTGGCGTAAAACGGCGAGGATCCAGGATGCTTATGGTCTCATCTGTCGAGATATCCTTAGATGACCTCTTATCGATGCGGTCACTTGACGGAATGGGCGGTGGGGATGATCCTTGCCCCGGCGGCGTTGCGGATCTTCGCGATCTCCTCGAACTCCGGCGGGAGGGCGTTCGATACGGGGTATCTTGTGGCGTCGGAAGGGAAGCAGCAGCGGTTGGGCCGCTGTACTCATCCTCGGTTTCCCACATGGCCATGTTGAAGGTGCAAGATTGTGGCCGGCTACAGGCGTCTGCCAGATTCACCACCCCGGAAAACCCCTCATCAAATAACCAAAGCGTGTGAAAGAGCTCGGATCACTGGCCGGTATAGTGTGGTTGGACAAGGTTGATCAGTGCTCGACGAACGTAAGTGTCCACAACCCCCGCGTGAGAGCGACGAGACGTGTTAAGGAGACCGTGAACCAAAGCTGGTGAAAATCGACAGAACGTACGATCGAACACTATGCGCGTGGGAGAACGCTATCTCATTCTAGCACCCGTGTCAGTCCCGACATGCGATCCGTTCCGTGAACTGAGAGAGAGAGAAGAAGAACGCAAATGGCCGTAGAACATGTTTCAATTGACCACTCTCAATGGCGCTCATTGGAGTTTGCTAACATACTCATCGGAAGGATGCTGCCAATTAAAAAAGTCGATGCGATAGAAAATTGAATGATTTCAGGAGTCGTCGTTCGCCCTGCATTACACGAGTGTTAGCATGAACAAAACCAGAACCCTGCTAATAACAGCTCGATTAAGAACTTTTTAGGCGGGTTAAAGAAATAACACCCGGGTATTATTCCTTGCCCCTCGCCCCCTTCCTAAAACGGCCTTCGAGAACAATCATTGAGTACCCAGACCCAGGTTTCAGAAGCGATTTCCGTGATTGTACAGCAATCTCTTTCCATCGCACTCATGAAAAGGGGTCATGGATAATCGTCATGATGGAGAGAGCGGGGACGTCTCCTTTCGGATGTATGGCTGAGACTTACTTTCAATATCCCTTGGCAGTAGTCAGGAAATATAAACCTCGCGCTGCACCGGTTGAGTTTATCTTCTCAGTCCTTGAAGATCCAGCCTCTAGTTGAGAATATCCATGATAAGAGTAGAATAGGATCGCGGGTATCGCATAGGAAGACGACGAGTATCGCACTAGCCGCACCGGGAAGCACGGCCAACGAGCAGATCACGTCGCAGTGAAGATAAAACGAGCACAAAAAGTGAATGGGGTAATCAGGATCGGGCAGAATCGTCGGGTGCGATGGCAAGAAGCTAGTTTGTTCTGGAACAGTACTTGTCAGCGTTCATCGCAGCTCGGAAGCCGTCAGTGTGTCCCAGAACCGACCGAGAACCTTTGAGATCTCCAAATGTCTTAAAAAGATCGCTCGTTCACCACGGGAAGCTCAACTCACGATCTCGGTCAAGAAGGGGAATGTTACGGTCCTGTCTCAGCAGGACCCCGGTATATATGAAAGGTGGCAAGGGAAAAGAATGTCGTGTCTGACAGAACAAAGAATGCGGGTTCCTCGAAGAAAAGCAAATTGCCGATGGAGATTGTTGCAAGTTTCGGCGCCACGGACTGGAGGCTGAAGTTGTTAGAGACGGTCTGCTCCGATCTTGAACTTGACGGGTGGTTGGAGAAGGATGCGAAACATTTGATCAGATGCAGAAGTGGGATCCACAATTTGATCTCTCATTCAACCAGCAGCAAAGCAATTCCGAGTTGAAAGCTGAGAGGTGCTTGATGGGGTCTTGGTGGAGCGAAATGCGGAAGGGCAGGTTGACGAAGACGAGGGCACACAATCCTCCCTGAAGTAACCGGCATGCATACCTCTAAATCAATCCGACAATTTGTTCGTTACCGAGCTCCGGCACCACTTGACCATCTCCAGGTCGAGTATAGAATTGAGCCAGAAAGGAAGAAGAAAAAAGGAGAATGAAAAGAGAATCGGAAAGTGGACAAAACACGCGCCTCGCGGAAAGAAAAGACAACGGGACCGGGGGGGTTATGTGGGCTTCAGGTCGCATCAAGTGTATGTATGAATGTATAAGATGAAGCACATATCACCACGTACCTTGCGACCTTGTGAAGGATCCTGGACAATGGAGGAACCGAGATTCTGGAGTGCGCTAGTGGCATTCTCACTCTTCCTTGCAAAGTACCTGTTGACAGCGGGCACAAGGCACAAGGCGACCAGAGCCCCGTGCTCAGTGCTCCGAGCTATTGTACGAAGTAGTGTACCTTTTCATACAGCAACATGACCATTGATTGATCAATGTTTCTTGATTAGTGGGCAGTCCAGGGTTGGATCCGGCGACTTGTGGGCATATCAATCCATTGTTGAAGATTGCACTTGGGACAGGGCTAGCTTCAATGTTCCTTTGCATGGGGGACATTCCAACTTCTCTCCAGGTGCTGCTTTCGATGTTTCTAGATCTCAGGTACTTCATCATTTCCACTTGAAGCTCTGGACTTTACTTGGTGCAGACGAAGGAATGGCATGTGCTGTTGTACCATTCAGCAGCACTCCGATTCTCACTTGGGAAGCTTCAACACGGTAATCTGGATCGAGACGGCAGATTGTGTACATCGAGACCACAAAGTATGTACACACTTTCATATGCATTAGCTAGTTGGTTGTATTACTTCGAGGAAAGAGTAGTTGCAGCAAGAACAATCCGCCCACGTCCAAAGTACGAAGTAGTGGACATTTTCGCATGCACTGCTCTTGGCAACATTTAAAATGACAAGTCTGTCTCGGACGAAGTAGTGACGGAGGAGGAGCGTTGGAAAAATACATACACAAGTATATCACATTCGAGGTACGAAATACTTTAGTGCAGAGGTGCAGCTGTTAATCAAAGCTGGAAAATACTACTACCCCATATTCGACGAAGTATGTTCCGTCCGATACACCGCATCACTGACGATGCGACTATCCCACGGGATTTACTGCCCCTGCCTCTGTTGGCTGAGTGCTTGACCAATTCTTGTTATTGGGGACCTCTGCTTCGGGCCTGCCCACTCGGACATCCATCGCTTGCCGCTAGCCCAATTTCGGCCTGTGACAGTGAAGTGGGAAATGGAAGGGTCGCAGGAAGGCAGGGGACCCAGAAATCAATGGAGCCCAGTCACTAAGTGGTACCCTTCCCGTAGTTTATACACCATGATGAAAGGGATCTACAGGCCATTCGTCAAATTCCGGTGGTCTTACTATTATTCCGAAGTATCGAAACCCACTCAAACAGGTATATGTACATATATATTAATGCGTCTCCAGGCATTTGAAAATGCACCTGCAATGTACACCATGGTAGTACTTTCATATCTCGTATGTTTTGCAGCGCAGACTGAGAGCTTTGTGAAAGACCCCCAGCGCAAGAATGGGTCGTTGTTGCGTCTTCGGAAACAACATTAATTGAGTTGGGCCCCCAACTGATCGTGGATTACACAGGTACAGATGCGAGGTTATCATTGTGAAGCCTCAGGACACCACGGAAAGGTTGGCCTAGTCAAGATCTCTCAGTCGAGACAAGACATTGTGAGTGCCCGTGTCGTTCGTCGAGTGCTACAAAGTTTAAAGTCAACCAGCCTGCCGGTAAATGGCAATCGAACTTTCTAGCCGGCCGAAACTGTCTCGACTTTTATTTCGTACAAGTAGACTGATTTGGTTTTGATTCGGGAAACAATATTGACCACCACGAGTCGATCTCCTTAACCTCCACCAGAGAAATGCAGATTCTGTACAAGTCGTTCTAACAGACAACCAGTCGGTTAGAGCCAAGGATTAATTCTTTGCCATCTTTTTTCATAGATCTTTGCACAACTTGCCCCCAAATCGCGCCGGATGTTGCGCCGACTCCCGTCCCATGCGAACCCGAGCTCGAATCTGCGAAGTACTTCCTAAGAAGTAAATTCTCTGCGGAGCTCCTTTCCCAAGTAACTTGCTTCATATGAGATCAATTGATCACTCTCGCTTCTCCTTGAATACACTACACTCGTGTGCTCTACACTAAACTACCTCATGACGACACCCCGCGCCATTAGCTTGCTGCGTCCGTATGTGGCGTCTTCCAGAGCCGGAGATTCAAAGCTTCTTCCAACCCGCCCTTTACTTCTTACTTCATAACAAGTAGAGTACACAAAGGTAGAGTCTTACTCGTTCATTTCCAGGTCGGGGGCAGGTTTTGGGACAAATCTATTATCCTATTATCCTACCACTTCGTACAAAGGATCCGTTCCTGGCAGTGAGTCTTATCTTCCATTGATCTCTCTGACAAATTACATACTCAGACTTGAAGTACTTGTACTGTGTAGATGAGGGATGAAATCCCATATCCTATGAGCGCCATGACCATGAAACGACTGGGTCTGCAACCAAAATCTCGGGAAATGCACTCGTAGTTACGCGACGCTAGACAAGGATGGAGGCTCACTTTCAACCCTCCGGTCCCTCGGTGAAGCATCACGTATGATTCTACTCCTTGTATATGCAATTCGCACTGCCGGAGACAAGCAAACAATACACTAGCAAGGCGCACCTTGCTGCTCTACTGCAGACCTCCTGCGTTTTCCTCAGGTTGCCTCTCGGCGCACTATTCTCCAGGCTGGTGAGAGAGGTTACTGTAGTATTCTGGCGAAGCACTTGGTGCACTAGGCTGCACTAGTTTATTTTGTCGCTTCCCTCGTCCATGTTACTTCGTGCCTCACGTCGTCCCCTTGTGTCAGTAGGCTTAGCGTATTAGAGTGGGAAACACGCGAGACCAAAATAGGGACAGTTTTTCCCCATTTGGGGGCGAGCAATTTCTCCCACCCACTTTCAGAAATCATGAGGACAAAAACCGTTTTCTCAAGAGAAAAGACCCGAGTCCCTTCGCCCAGCCTCACAGTGATTGTTCGACAGCGCTCCATTACGCGACTTGCACTTAGACATGCATAATTCCCCTCTTTCGCCTCCTTCTATTCAGATCAATTGATGCTCTGCCCACTTAGTGCGCATAGCTAGTTGCGGCGCGCTGGCAGTGAAAATATAGTAAGTGCATCAATAGCTCAGAACCAACCCTCAACTTTGCAGCAGGTTGAACTCTTGCTTCGATGCCCACATCTTCCTCTGAAGTACGCAGTACTTCATACGTTCGCAGTTAATCCTTCGTATTAATCCATACTACCACACTACCACACTATGAGCGCACTATCCCTCATGTCATTTCCGAGGATGCTGATCCTCAAAGGAGGCACGGACATCCCCAGCTGGCGGGATAAGTTGGAACTCGGGGCATCCTGCCAAAACGATAACGAGATCTACACCAGGCCTTGACAGGACCACTCGAATGGGCAGGCCCATGTCATCGCTAGGAGTTAGTGTCGTTTCGTGATCAAAGGACCACGGCGATGGGATTGAATGGATTCCTTGTTCCTCAACTTGCTTCACGACCACTCCCCGCCTACACAGGTATCTCTGCGTTCTTTGTCCATACTCAGGCGAATGTCTGACGAAGTACTTTGTAGTGTAGTGTACCCGGTACGACTGTAGGCATTATTCCGGCTTGGTTAATGACAGGGTTGTCCAAGTCCTGTCCTTCGAAGCATCATCACACGAGGTTCAAAATAAACCGTCTTTCCCCCTATTTCACAACATGGGTTCTGCACCCATGCTTCGCACCACTCCCACTCTCCAGACTTTGGGGAAATGTTTCCAACACTTTGCCGCAGCGAATGAGGGATAAAACGAACTTGAACAAGCAAATCGGGATTTGTCCCAGTCTCCCAGATCCCTCAACGCCAAGCAGGGGGGTGGGATTGGTTACCCGATAGGGTATGGAAGACATGTCGGGTCTGGATGCCGGTGTCCGGCGAGCAGGATGAGGACCACCAAATTTTTGATTTGGGTCTGAGCTACCCCTATTTTTTCTTCCTCCGTGAGGGCGAGGTAATTTCGACGAGCCTGGTATTACGAAGGAATCATATGGCCCGTTCGTTCCTCGCGATATTGTGGCGGCGCTGATCACTTCCGTGCACACATTGGCCCCCCGACCAGGCCCCCCCCCAAATCAATTCTCCATACAGCCTGCGACGGGGGCAGCCCGTGGCTTGGAACATAATGGGATTTGAGATGAGCTTGTCGCCGGTGATTCAATTGGCGGGGAAGCAGATAGATTGATGTGAAAAAGAACCGGCACGCCGCATCATCTTAACTGCACAAGCCCAGCCCTTGACCGAACTACGAACTAGTGAGAACAGGTGAGACAGCTGCCAACCAATTCCTTGCCGTTGGCACCAAAAACTAAGTCATTCGATCCTTCGTCGGTTGACTCTCTCGAATGACTGGCTCTTAGGGCATGACGGGCGGACCACTAAATCCCAAACCTTCCCCGGTACCGTGCGGCCCGTCCTCGTTGGTCTCCACCCACCACCAAGAGCAGATTGAGGGTTGTTGCCACACCCACTGGTTTACCCCAATCATGAAGCCTGGACTGAGCCAGGAAGGACGCTGTAGGGTGTAGCGTATACGCTACAATACTGAGTACCCAGTGTCCTCAATGTGAAATGACCACTGGGCCGGGGCTGGCCAGGCCCTGGCTGAAATGGGCGCTGGCCGCCTCATCTCTACGCTACCATTCTCAGCCGGTCCCCAGAGGGCCAGGCCAAGGTCTCCCCTGTCAGTCACCAGTCGCCAGTCACCAGTCTCTCACCCATCATCCAAGCGTTGCCCGGTTCGTGGCGGTCTCACCTTCTCGCGCTAATATCCCCGAAGGCTCCTTTCCACTTCGGCTCAATGTTCTTTGTTTGCCTTCCTCCTCGTGGTGGCGGAGTGGGGGAAGCCTGCACGTGGGGAACGAGAAACAGCACAGGACAACGCCCAACAAAGGCGCCGAATCCCACCGCGGGACGCGTCGTCTGTGTTGGCTGCTCCTATTTTCGCACCCTGTCCGAACCGCAGATTGTAGGATTAGGTTGGGACGCGAGTTGAACGGACCCCCGAGACGAAGTGGTGTCATCCATCAATGAGTTATCTCGCTTTTCGCGTGGCTTTCCTCGTAACCATCAATGTGATAGTGATAGACCGACCATATCGCATATGAGGGAGGGGAAGATGTGAAATAATTTCCTTCTGCACGTACATCGATTGTGAATGTTTCATCCCTTGTCCACCCTTTCAACTAATCTAGATGTTCGCTTTCCACATGCTCCGGAAACGAAAGTGCATCGGGGAAGATGTAAATGTTATCGATGCTCTACCTCCGCATTCCGAGGTCTTGAAAACCTGCCATGTGCTTTTATTAACCTCCGGCTGTATTGGAGCTTCCATATTAGTTGTAAGAAAGAATGGGCTATGCCGTCCCCAAGATCTCGAGAATAGAATGTTAGAAGAGAATATTCCGTGTCCCGTCCACGGCACTTTCAAAATCAGGCACTATAACGTACGGCTTAAATACTCCCAGCCCACCGGTTTTTCTCTTTACCTTCCACCATATTATTGATCGTCGGGCTTGCGTGTGTGAAGAGAACTTTCCGGCAGAGATGACCGAGTCCATAGCACGGCCTAGTGCAAGTAATATATTGTCCGTAATTAGCCCACCCATATTAAGACGGCAGAAGAGCCGCGTTCATGTCTACTATGGTTCGGTTCTTCAACATGGCACATCTAGGAGGTGGATGCTCTCATCTATAATGCATTTCTATCATTCTATCGCTGCGCTATGTTCACATTTGGGGGTATATGCTCCCCAAATCGGGTTGAGACCAAAGCCCATAGACCGCCCCAGCAGAGGCTCCCTTTCTACCAGGAAGTTAGCCACAAGAAATTGTGTCCTCGAACAGGCATCCTCGTACGTGTGTGCCCAAGAATCCTTTGGCTCGACGGCCTTCGACTCGGCTGGCATTCGCAAACATCCAGTGAGGCGTTTGGGTGCCCCGTGCTATTGCCGTTTTATGAACCCATAACTCAACGTTGTTGATGTTATGGGCGGTTCTTTCGGGGAGATCAACTCCTTTCGCTTCAAAGTCCCTTCACGATTCCGTAAACAATGTAGATCGATAGCATGCGCCGTGATGGAAGCGGGCCTCCCGATTACACTCCTTCATCGAGAATCTGAATGGCGAGATGGGAGATGGATCTTGTAGGAGGCATCATGCTGGCGGAGAAGACACTCCATTCATCATCTTGGGGACGTTCTCAGCCGTCGATATTGGATACTTGCTCAAGCTCTCATACCACTGTACAAGGCTTCCGATCTGTGAGACACGACCAGTACTTGTTAGCAAATAGAGATATATCAGAGTCATGTAAGACGGAAAGGGAGAAAAACGTTCGGGGGGCAAAGGAGCATACCAAGAAAGCCCACGAGCCGATAAATGTTGATAGTGTAGATGCGTACGCGAAGGCAGGCTTTTCGGCGGCAAACCCAAGCGCGCCACAGAGAGTGAAACCCAGAGCCCCAACGAGGTTCCATACGCCCATATGCCAGCCGAGAGAAGAGAGGTTCGGGAGATACCACTTTGTCTGGACCTCCAGCATGAAAAGCCAGCTAGATATTATGAAGCCACTACCGCCAATGACCTTGTTCTCAAGTTAGAAACGTAAGTCCGCCAGGGAAGTGACTGCGATTTTAAGACTCACCTGGGGGACCCAATAAACGCCATCGAGCAACCTCCCAGTAAGCTGGTCAGAGATTGGAGGTAGTCCGCAGATCCCCGCTATCCAGAAGATAGTCGCGCCCCAAAACTGAAAGAAGCACGCCAGGAAGCCAATCTCCCTAAAGTAATGCGTCCTCAGCTCTTCCCAGGTCGGCCACCAGTTCCACAGCCTCTCCGAAGTCGAATCTCCGTCATCGTCTGTCGTCTTTCCATCAGAGGCGATCGAAGGAGCCTTCAAAAAGGAACGCCTTGAGAAGTGATGGTGGCGACAGGCGTGCCCCGGCGCTGTCGACAGGCGCAGGTGTTGGTTCGATATTGAACGTTCAAGTGCCCATCCAAAGCAATCTGTACGATTCTCGTTTACAGCCTCGAGCATGAGCAGGACAGACCCTAGCTCGAAGACGGTTGCTCCGATAAATCCCGTCAGGCCGCCTCCCCATCGAACTTCGTTCTTGAATTCTGAAGACGGCGCCACCAGCGGCAGCCACACGAAGGAGCCATTGAAGCACCAAATGACAGATCCTAAGCCAGAAATTAGTGACGTCGTAAACATTCCCATGGGTTGATGGATGATCTCCACCCCCAAATAGCACCGTACCTAAGGTGAATACAACGGCAACATCGTACGAGACATCCCAGACCGGGTATCTCACCACCATCTTCCAAATGCCCCTCAAAGCCCCCTTCCACGTATTCGTCACCGGCACCGTCTGGATTTTCCCCGTCTCCAAGTTTTCCTTATGCACAACCGCCGCATGCCTCCCTTTTCTGTTGTCTCGACTCCTCCAGACATACCAGGCAGCCGGCAGGCGTGCTGCAACTTCCTCGGGAGGTGGTCGTACATGCTCGATGGGAAAGTACGCAGTCGTCGGGTTCAGAGCTTTGATAGGCCCGTGAACTTTCTTCCCTTCTTCGTAGAAACGGTCACTGAAATGCCTCTTCAGAGGCATCGTGTCTGTCTCAGCCCTACCCGCACCCTCGGCGGGACCAGGTGAGGCTGACGTCATGAGAATCCGGGAGGCCGGGCCTTACGTTCAATAAGTAGACAATTAATGGGGTCTCAGAAATACATGCGTAGATGGTTGAACTGTATTTCCCATTGCTAAGCGCCTCGCGAGATTTCGGCGGCGGTAGTACGGAGTTTGTTCCTGATGGGGCTACGTTAACATGGAGAAGTTTAGAAGCTCGACTGAGAACGAATGAAAAAAATTAACCCACATGACGTCTTAATGCCGATTTCCGACAACTTGCAACACAAGCTAAGAAACTCCACGAAAAAGACTTCAATCAATCGATGATTCGGAATTGATTTGACTGGTATGACTTTTGTTCCCCCTTGTTTTTTTTTTCACTCAAGTTAATGATCTCTAGACTGGGCTTCGGTAGAGTGTCGACGGCGATTCAACTGCGTCATGAAATCCACTAGAATCCGTCTTGATAATGCAGCCTATTCGCGTCTCTAAGGGCGAGGACAGGGATCTAGAAAGGCCAAGGGCTATTCGCCCCAAAAACTAGAGTGCTGATGGAGATGAAGCCAAGCTAACCGTTGTCCATAGTCGAGTTTGCCGTTTGCTGGGAACTTACTTCGCCCAGTGACCAACATGTGCCGGCTCGTATATGGGGATGAGCTTAAAAAGTCCACCTCCTTTTATTCGAGTTTTAGTTCTACCGCTGGACATCGAAGGTCGCCGGCGAGTCTAGCAATATCCACGAGATGGCCAGCGTGCTATTATACGTCGCCAATTTATCGAGTACGGGCGAAGCTGCGATGTCCTTACACCATGGAGGCGAGACGGAAGCTTAGCATAGACCTCCCGAGGTAGAGCCTCAGATGCTCCTCCTTGGACACTGGCTGAAAGCTAGAAGGACGGCGCTGTCTAACGTGAAAGTTATCGAGCTAGAGAAAGTACTCTGATCCGCCACGAACTGAGCATACTGATCATTACCAGTCAAGAGAAAGAGGTGGTTATAAGATCTACGTCTCGTTCCTTGAAGGCGACTAGTTCGACCTGACCACGGCGCAGGAACAGCGTCTCGGAGGGTCTAACCTACGACCTACGGAGGCTAGATAGTATCTTTCATGTTGGTCCTTTTTGATTCTCGAAATCTGTTCCGCCGCCGAATATGTAGGAACAACTTGGCCTTGATAGCTCCCACAGATGACAGCATAGGGCTACCCTCGATCAGCCACGTGGAGCTGCGATCCCGCAAGTTTCTCGAGAAGTAACATAATAGTGAGGTGAGAGTACGAGTACCTCCACTTAGAGATTGGCCCTGCCAGGTTTACGAGCGGTTTTCTATGTGAGATGGAAGACAGCTCTGCCAACGGAAGGATTCCAACCGGCCACGGGGAAACTAACTTAAAGTCAGTCAAAGACTCAAGTCTGGAATGGTAAGAGATATCTGAGTAGGTGTGAGCAGTGCATTTCCCGAACCACGAAACTATCGCGATCACTCACCCTCAAGTCATAGCCGCCGAGAACTCCCCGAACCCGCTACACCCATTATTTAGGTCATCAGAGTGGCCGACGCTCTTGTACGATGTGTACCCTTGGACGAGGGCTACGTATAACTTTGGTAAGGGCAAACCCGAGTATTGGAGAAGGGATACCAATCGTGGACGTGCCTCCCAAGAGCCCATTCGTTATAGTAAAAACACCATGGACTCAATGTTCCAGGAGCCACCCCATTATTCCGATTTCGTAATACCATGTAAGTAGAGATTGTTAAAGTCTTGCTGCCACTGAATGAAGAATTAAGGACCCCAACTGCTTTGAAAAGACGAATGTTCTCGGGGAGCGATCGCGGCTCCTTCCTTGACTCTACCTCACAACTAGAGGAGGGTAGTGTCCAGCGACTTCCGGCCGGAGAGGGGGGCGGATTGGAGAAAAGCTCAAACTTACGTTTCTGGTATAACATATGCTTTCAACGAGGAACAATAGAAAAGAAGCCCCCAAAATCTCGATCAGCCCGTTCACCCTTTCCAATATTTCATAGTTCTGGGGTATCGCACATGCTTTCCGCCTCGAACATTGTCAGGATACGTACGCCCTACTACGAGTATACTAATCATGAAGCATAAGATCTCCTTTATATATACACGGCGTGTCTCATCCGCCCGATGAAATGGGATAGGTTGCGTATCTTCTCAGCGAAGGTTCTCCCAACTCAGGTTGGAGGTTGATCCAGTTCTTGGCGACAGGCAACCCGATCTACGGATTAACTTGGGCGCCTTCCCCTACTGGAAATGAAAGCGTTTTAACTTGGGATTCTGCTTATCAATCTTCACTCTTGGGAGACTTCCATATAATATGCGGAACGAGGCAATGTTAAGGTTGAGAAATTGTCATGCATCCCGACTCTTCCCTCGTAGCGTTTGCCATCATTATTCGTCTTGACCGGGAATACTCTCTAAGAGACGTTTCAAGGTCATCGCCCACTTCCAAGCAGCACCATTATAGACAGTAAGGCTTGTAAAGGTTTTCGTGTTGGATGGTCGTTTTGGAGTCAGGCTACTGGGATGGAGCCCGTGACAACATTGAGAGGACTGGGCACAACGAGGGGAGAAAGCTTAGGGGTTAAGTCTCATCGGCCTGGGGCTAGGGGGAAGGGACCAGAAACCAGGCGAAAACACCGGATGATATGGTCTTTTGGAGCGGCTGCGATGGACCGCCGCTTTCTCTTCCTTGCTCTTGGGGCTTGGCTTCACACACCCAGTCGCACAACAGTAGAAGCCGAAACCCAGTGTTGGCGAGCATCTACGGATTTAACTATTTACCACCAAACAGAGGCAAATTCTTGTACATGAATGAGAACTTGCGTGACGGAACCCTTCTCCACGACCGAAATCCCGACGGCATATAAGATGCTGATTCAACGGGAGTCAGAACCAGGCTTTTCCCCTCCTGAGCGGACCTGTAATCCCGCTTTGTGTTGCAGGAAATGGATAAATGCCAACTAAAGTAAAATGCTCTGGAACGGCCGGCTCGGCAGCACCCAGTTCCCGTGTCGCCGGGTAGAGACGCAGACAATCCCGTTTCCAAATGTCACGGTTCGGACCAAAAACTGGATGGCGATCATCGTCCGTTCATCATTATGGGAACTACATCACAGGTACCCACCCACCCGTAACCAAGGATGTACAAGAGCAAACCGCCGCTACTCTATTTGTGTAGGTTTACGACACGTACACTTTTTCCTCCGTACACTAGACAACGAACCGGAGCAGGGACCCAGTACCCGGCGCCCGGTTTCGAGCGACTAATCCATAGTCGGGGACTAGACACTTCAATGAGTCCATCTTATCCCTTTTTGGCCGTGGCTGGCGAAAATGTCTCAGTTCGTGCAAAGAGAGCCAGACAGATGTATGTTAGGCTCAGAGCACGGCTCACGCGCGGTTGGGGTGTTGGAACCAAAGCCACAGACTCGGAATAGGCTAAGAGGTTTGTCCTCTCACAAGATGCGCTAACTGGTGCGGAAAGCATGACGATATGGTCCGTGTCGGCACGAATCGTGGACTCTCACGGCGCCAGGTTAAAACCCTTGCACCTTACCGGTTTAGGAGCATGGTGCCGAGCTGACTTTCTCCGGGGCCCTCTTCGTATCAGGTTTTGTGTGCGTGGCCCAGACACATTGACTCAGTCAAGCAAGATACGAAGTAGATAGGGTGTGATGATGTTGTCGAATCATCTAGGCAGGGTGTTCACACCAGGACGGAAGGCTAAAGACCCCCGCCCACAAGGCTACACTAGGTTGGGGTGAGATGTCTAGTGTAGATAAATCGGCTTGTGTAAGGGTCATATGGACTTCAAGGCGGACTCTTCTGCTCCACAATAGCTCAGAGACCCAACAAATAAAGGGGGGAAAATAGCCCCCAAGGCTGGGCAAGAAGATCTTCAATACCTCGGTATCTAACTACATGTCGAGCAAGTAGCGCCTTAATAGAATTGCTGGCTGGCGATGGAAGAGCCACGTCGTTCCTTTCTTCAAACCTATTACCCGAAAGCTGGGCGGTCTAGGAGGTATGGAAGCGACGCAATCCGGCCGAATACGTAGGGCCGTGCCTGATCGCTGATCGCATATGGTGCTCCTGCTCTCCCGACCATGCTCTTTCCTTGGACCGTTGGACGGTTAGAAAACTGGGCTGTTTCGCCCAGAGGGAACAATTGAAGAGGCTCCGTCGGGAAGAGCGGGAGGTCGGGGGCTACATCCGCTGGGTGCTTTCATAATTTGTCCGGTATGAACAGGCGACCGGGACCAGACTCCAGGTCCAAGATGGTGGAAGAAGGGAAGTGCACCACCCAACTTTGTCGATTCGTTGCAGATGGATGCTATGACAAGAGGGTCCGTTCCCTTCGCAATGAATCGAGCTACCAAATAGACAAAGTTTACCCGGGTCCCCCTTTTCCTACATAGATCAATGATGCTGGTAGTTTGCTTCTCGACATGCTACGGAGTAATACCTAGGGAGAGGATCACCATAGAATGGAGAAAGGAGGGGCGCTAGCTCCGATGTTTCGGCCAATACAAGCATGCGTACGAAGTACAAAGGTAAAGGCTTCAAAAAGCGAAGGGCGGCCTAGTCTCAAGTGTGCAATTTATAGCTTTTCGTGTTTCCTCACTCCCATCAATTGATGTCTAGCGGGTGGCACTAAACCAGTCCGGACCTCTGCTTCTGGCTTCCGAACCAGTTCCCGATCTACGCCGATGGTACGCTCCCTGATCGCAGAGGTAATCATGGATGGAATGGCCGTGCGAGTGTCCCACTCAGTCATCAACGCGCCGTTAAATATATTATGAAAGGTCAAAGGGACCACCGGTCTGTCGCCTCCTCTGTGCAGTGGTTGGGTGTCATGGGATTTGCGACTGTCTTTCCTATCCGCCTTCCCCGTGAGCGAGTTTGTCCATCCGTCCAAAAGGGGTTCCCCTATCTGATACTAAGGTACAATAC